CGTCTGGCCACTCACTCTCACACCAGTGTCTGTTTGAAGACGAGCGCTGATCTGATTTGCTGTGATGACACGATTTCTCAAGGCCAAGGTACGGATAAATCGATCCTGGGCTTGAGCGTGGTCTGTCCTGTACAGATTGTGTATCACGGTATCTGGACTATAGCCTGCTTATGACAGACTGAGAAACATTCATCGTCCGCGCCACAACCGCCTGTGTTGTGCCGATCTGTAGCGTGCCGATCTGTAGCATGCCAAGGGCACGTAACCTTTCATTTTGGGTAAGCCGACGCATATCAAAATTTGTTTTCTGGTCACTAAAACAATTAAACTGATGTTTCCACCCTGGAATTCAATGCCACAATGACTGTAACATTCAAAGTCAGGGTCGTGCAAATCTTGGGTTGGACCCCCATGATGATCCCAAGCATCACCTGCATTCCATGCGGTAGCTATTGGTGCGTTTGGGCGTCACATGTAACTGGAAATGTTTCTTCTGTTAGGTTCTATAGTGACTTTTTTCGTAGTCATTTGCATATTTTAGTATTATGCCCCCAAAATCAAATATCCCCTACTTTTTTTGAATAGTATATTTTGTTTATAATATGATGTTTTTGTTACCAGAATAAATTGAGAATAACCATTATCATATCATTCACATCTGACAAGTCGTGTAGAAAGCATTTCAATTTGGAGCACAGGTTCAACTATGTTTTTGTTTGAATTTATTTTTTAGAAGAATCTTACGGACGAAGAAATGGTCGACGCAAAGTCATTTTTAAATCTAGAGGAATGCTTGGATTCTAAATTTACCTTAGTAGAGAAAATAACACCAGTATCATCAACTCCTGCTAGTAGCGATAAGAGTAGCACTAGTGTACAATTTGATGAACACCAAAGTCGCTTTGCCAGAGTTAGAAATCAAATAAGACAATTTTTCAACCGATTTCGGGAACGTCTCCAGAGAAGACGGCTATTGCATCCATGAACAGCAGTTCGAATAATGAATTTGGACAAATATACAAATATAGATTTATTTTATGTGTGAATTTTTGAGGTATTAAAAGTAGGGTTACGTGTCAAACGGAGGATTTTGACAAACACAATGACCATCTCGGGCTGCACACACTCTAGGTACTCCAATTAAATAGTTAAATATGAACCAAGATACAGTATTGTCTGCTAACATAATTTAAATCTGTAAAGCCCATTTTATACCACGTCGGACTCGTTGCAGTCACAGAAATCAGTTTTGAAGATATTATTCAGCTACTCAAACACATGGACCATATTGAAATTCGGAGATAGTTTAGCTAATGATAGATATAAAGATGAAACTTATTGAGTGGCATATTAATTATTTAGTTATTGTCCTTACAAAACTTTCAGATCACTACAATTCTTTTCCCAAACTGGAACTCTCCGATTGGTTACGCATCAAAGTTGGAAATGTCAACTTATCTCTTTTTTTGAGAAATCACACCTTTCCATCACCGCAACTGCGCCACACCACATGCTACCCGCTGTTAGGAACTAAGATACACTATTATTAAATATTTCCACTGTCCACAATAATGCAGGGTTTCCCCTTGTCAATGGTGCAGGGCGGTTGGAATTCAAGAGTAGGCCCTAGCGCTGCTGTCCGGACGATATTTACCTCATAGCACACTGTGTGGTGTATGTCCGCCTTCATTAGCCCAGTCGGAGCAAAACAGTAGGACGTTAAACCCTATTTCATTTCATACTATTAGGATGCCAGTCTATTCGTCTGTCGGATGTCTTGGAGTGTAAGAGTGTGTTGTTGATCTGTTGGGTATCTTGGTTTGCCAAAATTGACGATCGACAGTTTTCCGAAGATGAATTAAGGGCAACCTTATTTTAATTGAAGAAAACGCGCGTTCCTTGCGGTCCGACAGCCATGTAAGTTGTTTGCGTTAGAAATACTACAAACTGTTTTCTCTATTGGTTCAAAGGGTAAAAGTTACGGCAGCCATGTCAATTTCCAACGAAACATCATCTTACCCTAATATCCACTCGTCCAGGTCAAGGGAGGGAATGGATGACTTTGCTTCGGATATTTCAGTATATATTGTTCTTTGGGCAAAAATGCCACAACCAAATTGGTTGCATTATTGTTGCAAAAATGAAAAGAAATGAAAGCGGCACTACGGCCTACTCGTATATCGAATGCCAACAGCCAAGGGATCTTTCACGTGCACGCCAATGTACACACGGGACCTCGGATGAGATTGCTGCCCTTGTCAGGCACTCCGTCCTGCACCACAGACAAGGGGAAACCACGTCGAAAAATCCTGATGAACCATCCTTTTAGTCAAATGGCCTGCAGTCTTTACCCAACCTTAATGACATAAGAGGCCTACAAGAAATCTTTTATGCTTGATAAATTATAAGGGGGTTGTTTACAGTATTCAAGAAGCTTAGAAAGGGCGGGGCCAAAGAATTCAAGCATTTAAACACAGTAACAATATTTTGTATTCTGTAAGAATGTAGTGATATGCACGTAATGAGCATTTTGTTCGAGAAATCTTGCAGTCATCATGTTGTAGGGAATTCTCCAACTTGACGCCGGTTTTGACTTTTTGCGCCCCTTCGCAAAGGCTAAAAATCACGCGGTTTCATTGCGGTTTTGGACATTATAATCATAATCATAATGGTCAAACATATACCGCTGGTCAGATATGCTACAAATCGACTCTAGCATGTACCACACGATCCAATATAACCGGGTGGCAATGGGAGGGACTGTCATCCGCCACCCCCAGCCACCGCTTCCCCCGCACACACATAAATATTGTTGGGGGGGGGGGCGTACGGAATCTTGTTCCTCACGCAAAATCGTGGGTCACCACGCCACTGAATGAAGATTAACGTCCCTGCACGATGTAGACTAGGTCGGTCGGTTCAATTGTCAGGAAATGTGACCTGTCACCTCCATACGCATATATGCTAGAAACCCCATAGATAATAACTTGGGTCGTTCGCTAAATCATGGATCTGAAAAATTATTCAAAGTTGAATTCTGGGGAAATGGATTGTGTACTCATTGACCATCGACTCTAAACAACAGTTACACAAAACATCCTATGCTTTGATATGATATTCATATTACGCCATCGTCACGTTAAGGCTGGGTAATTCCATTTGGTGTTCAACATTACATGTATTCATTTATAATCGGCAAAACGTACACCAAACAAGCTATCTCATTTTACACATATTGTACTATCTGCATCGATCACCCCGGTGATTCTTAACCAGTGTGCCACGACACACAGGTGTGCCGCGAGATCTTCCTTAGTGTGCCGCGAAATTTGAAAATGCGAAAAACCAGGTGATCCTAATTGAGCATTTACTCGAGCCGGTGTCTACTGGTAAGTTCATAGATGTGGAAATTTTTTTTTTATATTATTTTTTATTTAGTTTGAGTCATTCTATGTGTCTGACTAGTCTGTGTCTACGGTTGCATGCCGTGTTCAAAGGTGTGTCGTTAACAAAAAAAAGTTTAAGAACCACTGATTTACCTGTATCCTTTAGACTTGAGTTTAAAGCATTTCCTCATAGATGCTGAAACACACGTTTCCCTCATTAATACATTCTGAAAACTTCTCCAAATATTAGAAGCTGTTCGTCATTTTGGTTATTCAAGAAATATTTGAAAACGCCCTGTTTTTAGAGGCCTTTCCTCAGTAATGTATAAGTCATTTTATATGTGAACCACGTTTTAATTTTAAAAATACACAGGCCTACATAGCAAATAAGTTTTAAAATGATTGGTTATTGATTAGTAATGCTGGCTGTAGCCTAAGTGTTATAACATTTAAGTAGATAAACGCCCTGTTCTTAGAGGCCTTTCCTCAGTAATGTAAGTCATTTTATATGTGAACCACGTTTTACTTTTAATAATACACAGGCCTACATAGCAAATAAGTTTTAAAATGATTGCTTATTTATTAGCAATTCTGACTCTAGCCTAAGTGTTATAACATTTAAATAGATGAAATGTAATTTACTTTATCTTTTTTATTTGTTTACTTTATATGTGTATTCCATTAATTAAAACACGAGTTGGAACTTAATCGTTTAACATATTCTTTTAGTGGCATTTAGCGATCGGGGAACACATTAACAGAACACAGTTTTTAAGGGATACAATCACTAGTTTATTCTAAAAGCACGACGTTTCTACAAGTATCCTCTTATCGTTATCAAGCACAAATGACAATTTAGTAACTTGTGGACAATATATATGAAAATTAATACTCTTATATATTTATCTTCAAGTTTACTAATCTGGCGAACACACTTAGTTGCCACATCCCCATATTGACGTTGAACATATTCTTTTAGTGGCATTTAGCGATCGGGGAACACATTAACAGAACACAGTTTTTATGGGATACAATCACCAGTTTATTCTAAAAGCACGACGTTTCGACAAGCATAGGCGTAGGAGCCGGGGGGGGGGGGGAGGCAGCCCCCAAAAAATAAATTTATTTTCGGGCAATGAAAAATTCGACGACCTTTTTTTTTTCTATTAACGTTTAGAGAAAAAATATAACTAACTTATTTCTATGAGATCCACACTGCCCGAAAAGTATTTTCTCGTCTTTTTCTTGTCCACTGCATGCCCAAAAATATGCCCGAAGCTCTCTTATGATATGTATGCCCGAAAAAAGCACAACGTCAATATGGGGATGTGGCAACTAAGTGTGTTCGCCAGATTAGTAAACTTGAAGATAAATATATAAGAGTATTAATTTTCATATATATTGTCCACAAGTTTACTAAATTGTCATTTGTGCTTGATAACGATAAGAGGATACTTGTCGAAACGTCGTGCTTTTAGAATAAACTAGTGATTGTATCCCATAAAAACTGTGTTCTGTTAATCGTTTAAGGTGTGTGGTATGAAAATGTGCTATAGATATAACAACTCGCACCAATTAATGAGTGGGTCGACACGGCGTACGTGCGAGTTACCTCCCCTTATTAATTATCAAAATGGCGACGAAAAATTCTCAGATTGATTCTAGGAGCGAATTAATCGAATTGGTCAGAAGGCGTGCTGAGATTGCGGTATGAAATGACATTGAAATGCTACAACAATAACGAATATATAATTTTATTTCCATAAATCTGCCATTTTGGTATTTTACACTCGAAAATGTATGTGCTATCTCTATCTCCTTGACGAAAAGAACTTTTCTCCTTTCCATTTCCGTCAATAAATGGCGCAAAAATTTGAAGTGAGGAACACGTTGACGTAACACCGATCATTGTTGCTGTATTATTCTATTGCGATTTGTCAACCTGGACCTGTAACCCGATGAGGGAGGTAACCCAACCAGTTTGGGCCAGAATTTGTCCAGAAAAGTAAGACGTTTAATCCCCACGGCCACTTCCTGTAGGGTAGGCTGTCTGTAGTGTAATATCATTTAGTGACCAGAAAGTTCAGAGTTCAGTGACGGTTTTGGCCAATAAAGTTCCTTGGGGGCCTATCATACCATGGAACATCGTCCAGTTTTATCTTTCCTTACAAATAAGTCCATGTAATGCTGGCATGCCATTCTCCACACAAATCTCGCTATCCAGCATTTAACTCTGCTCGCGTACTACACCGGTGGACCTAGAGGTCATTCGTCACACTCACATGATTTACTACATGATGAAAATGGCATTTGTCAGAAAGGTTTCTAGCATTATAAACACGTAAACTAATGAGTTTTGGTCAACTTTAGGGGAAAATGTTATCAATTTCTACCCGAAAAAAACCCCACAATCCCAATCTAAATTTGCATCTTTCGTTTGTAAATGTATTAGGCCTTACGATCGCGTTATAAGGGTAAACAGATCCATGTGTACATGATTCTAAAATTAACAGGATGACATAATAATATGCAGTTTGTATTTAGGCTATAACCCTTTAACCTGTATATTTGTAAATACTTTATTATTACGATAAATATGACCCAATTTCTATTTTATTATAGTAATAGAATGAAATATATTATCACTTATTTGGTTTCAATAGTATTGTTTATCATTGAGTATCGATGCCAAGAATCTTGGTGGCGTAGTTAAATGAACCGTTAGCAGAGGTTAGTGTGGACTGCAAGGGAAGACAACTCTGTTTGGGAGATTGCTGGCATGTCCAAGAAGGAGAGGACATTCAAATTCTAGTCAAAGATTTAACTCCCCTCATTTATGCTCCCAGAGCTGTATAGTTATAAGATGTTGTTAACTGAAACGAAAGTACTATTTTTTGTTTAACAGGCAATCTTAAACTTATTTTATACCAATCTGATTAAAACACTGATCCGATTTCTTTGTTTCATTTTCTTATAGTTCAAAATTTTGTTTTACTTGTCTTTACTACACTAGATAGGACCTGGAAGAGTTGTTATACATGTACAGACGTATAATAACCCACATTCTTTTTGATGTGAGGGACTTGCCAATGAAACGATCTGTTACGGTGGGTTCTTGCCTTGGCGTGCGATGCACAGAACTTTGGGTAACCCACTAGAAACATCAACACTGATAGATTAATCTTTGTCTCACGTCATAGGTCAAAAGCTGCTCGTTTGACCCTTGACGCGACCATCCACTACAACAGGTCAGATATTCATGTAGTGGAAGTCATCGAAAGTATAAAAAAAACGAAACAAAATATAGATCGGTATTTTAATCAGGTTGGTTTTTATACAAAGAAACTATTTTGATGTAAGATGAACATTTTGTTTGAATCTATGTTCAATAAATTTTAGATTTTGGTTATTTATATTCAAAGAAACTATTTTATTTTCAGGAAACATTAGCCAATCTAGAAAGACAAATATATGCCTTTGAAGGAAGTTATCTTGAAGATACCCAGTTATATGGAAACATTATCCGTGGATGGGATAGATATCTCACAAACACAAAGTAAATTAACACAAAGTACAATTAAAATTGTAGACTACCTATTATTAAGAAGAGAACTAGATCTTTCGTTTTGAAAAAAAAAAACCCAAAAAACTTAAATTTTCTTTCTCATTAATATTTTTGTTAGGTTGTTGTCTGTACATTGGTAATCCAATATGAAAATTAATTTTCGTTGGTCATGTTACAAAATTTGGATATGTGTAATGAACTTCAGTTTCCTTTTATTTTCAGAAATACAAATAGTAAGGCAGATAAAAGAAACAGAAAATTTAAAGAAGCAGATCGTTTGTTCTCCAAATCATCGGTAACATCTGCAGCTGTAAGTTTAATTTTTTTGGCTATCTTTAAATAAGGTCAATGGGTGCATTTTTTTTTTTAATCCTCTGAGCAAAAATAAACGCATACATTGAATATAGATCAAGTGAAGTTGGTACTGTCATATGCTAGGGAAAAAGCTTAAAGCTGCATTTTGGTCTCAAATGCTATATAAATTATTTATTGGACATTTTATGTCAATCCCATAAATAATCAACTCGCTAGATTACTGGATGGTTGTGATTTTGTACAGATTGAAACCCAATTGCAATTTAATAATTTTATTTAAAAATAGATAATCGGTAGCAATTAAAAAGTAAGACTACACTGTATTTGACTTTCCAAATATTCCTTATTATGTTATCTATTTTTAAACTTATGACAAAAACGGCCAGCTCTTTATCTTAATTTTACATAAGGCAGTGGTCATTAAGGGATAAAATTTACTTACTATTATGCTCTTATACTCTTAATATCTAGAACAATTGGACCAAGGGGTATTTTTAATTACCTAATCACTGACTATTGGGAATAGGGGAGTTAAGGGGCTTTATGATCAAATATAACTTCAGGTCCAATGTGTTCATATATTGCTGTTCACAATAGAGGCTGCAATATTTCATAGATCTTTTTGAAATTACAATGAAAAAGCCTTTTGATTTTCAAGGATCTTTGATGATAACTTAACTTCTAGAGTTACATATATACTTACTTTTTTATGAAATCTTATTTACACTACCCATTCCTCCATTCCAAAATAAAACAATTAACTTTCGAATATCATTATTTAATGAGATGATAAATTACATGACCCGGAACATTTTTGCTTAATTAATTTTGGTATTTTCTTAATTCAATAATCCATTATTCCAACTTATTAAGTAGACAGAGAGAGAAAGAGAGATTGATACAACTTTTATTTATTTAACTGGATGATTATATTATGTTGAACAATTTATTTATTGATAATTATCACACTTCTGTTGTTGGTGGTTGTCATATAAAAATATATACTGAGCGCGCATAACTTTTTTTCCCCAAATATTTTATTACTAGGTGGTTTTGTATGTATAATATTATGCAATACTATGAACTATTGTTTCACACAATGCTCCCAAACGCAAAAAAAATATCGGCCCGTGTGCAAAAAAAAAAATTGCACGAGATGCACATGAAAAACCCAATATTCACGTGCAGCATTGTGTGTGAGCCCTTTAAAAGCATGTTTTCAACTTAATGTGCAGTACATGAACTGTGAAACGTCAATCTGTCGCAATCTGTTGTTGGACGTGTGAAGGAATCGAGCTAGAGATGCTGAGACTTACTGAAAATCAACAGAATGAAGCCATGGGAATGTCCAGGGCTGGCATGTCTACACGTGCTATTACCAGACACTTCTATTGTCATCAGTCCACTATTGTAAGGTTGGTGGAACGTGTTTTGAGTTACTGGATCCACACGTGACCGTCAACGTCCTGGTCCACAACGCGTTACAACCCAGGCTCAAGACCGCTACATCCGGGTCACTCATCTGCGTGACAGATTCCGCCCAGCGACTGGAACAGATGCAGCAGTCGTCAGAAGACAAGGACCAGTAAGTGCCAACACTGTAAGACGTCGTCTAAGAGAAGTAGGACTCCGTGCACGACGACCTTATGGAGAAGAGTGGACTGGCAAAGTGTGCTTTTCAGTGATGAGAGTCGCTTTCATCTTTATCATGCTGATGGCCGTCAACGTATGTGGAGATGTCTTGGGGAATGTCTTGCAGACTGCTGTGTCTTCAAAACGAATCGATGGGGTGGCGGAAGTGTGATGGTGTGGGGAGGCTTCATATTTCATCACCGTACCGCCCTACACATTTGCAGGGGTTGCGTTTAATGCTGTAGCCTACCGTGATGATGTCTTGCAACCAATTGTTTCGAGCGCACCCACAACTTCAGCACTTCCAACAGGATAATGCACGTCCGCATACCGCCCATTTTAGTATGGACTACCTGACTGCTAACAACATCAATGTCTTGGACTGGCCAGCCATGTCTCCGGACATGGCACCGATAGAACATGTCTGGGATGAGATTGGACGCCGTCTGTATCGGAGACCACAGATGCACACCATTGCTGCTTTAGAAGCTGCTCTTGTCCAAGAATGGAACAATTTGCCCCAGGCCTTCTTTCAAACATTGGTAAATTCCATGCGACGTCGCTGCACAGCGTGCGTAAGAGCCTGTGGAGGACACACGAGCTACTGACATCTGTGTCATACTTTTGGTTTTGACCCCTCTGACTTTGTACCGTTGATTACAGATTAAACATCCATAAGTGTACAAATGTGTTCCCATTTGATTATTGTTCACAATAAGAAGCAAAATAAATAAGATATGTTTACAGGATCATTTTGTTATACGAAAAACTAAGTGATGCGTTTTCCATGGCGCTCAGTATGGTGTCAGAGCCATTCAAATGTAAATTCGGTTGATCATGGGTCTGACAAAAAAACTGGTCTCTAAGGGTGGGACACCCTTTTTTCTGGAAAAGCACAAGAGTTCTTTAGTTCATATACTGGTTCATTGCCTGGCAATCTACTAAGAATCTGCCATTTCTGACTATATCTACAGTTAATGGTCACGGAATCCTTCATTAAAGATTATGAATGGCTAATTTGTCACTTTCACATTTTAAAGACTTTATAAATTACGATTTATTATTTATCTTTATTATCAGGCTGTCAATGGTGTTTCAGATCAAGTCGATAGAAGTAAGTCAAAAATAGCTTCTTTATAATTTCATATTATGTTAAATTGCTGGCATATATATTGGATACATGTTTAGAGCTATTACTGATAAAAAACTAAATAGACTTTTTTATGATGTGTTTCTTTCAACAAATTGACTATTGTCCAGCTCAAAAGATCCAGAAAAAGAATGTCTAGAATTTCGATATTTTAAATATATCTTTAAAATGATTCTTAACAACTTCCCTGTACAAATTAGAAGCTTTAGATGTTATGATGAGTTTAAAAAATTTTAAGTGGTTGATTATATCTTTGTCTTGCAGCCTATCTTTTCATGGATTTTCTGGCATAGAAATAACCTTCATAATATTCTCCATTTTGACAGGTTAAAACTGTGTGAAATATTTTTTATGTTTTACAGGACAGTCCCCTAGTCCAGATCCACCCAATATTCCATCAGGAGCCAATACTCCCAGCAGTCAGACTAATGGAAGTGCCTCGCCACCATCTATTACTAATAATGGTTCACACATACCATTACAAACTAATCACTCAGGCAAGGTTCAGAAAAATGCTCTTCGACACAAAAAGAATAAGAATAAATCAAGACATAGGTAGGATTTTTATGGAGTACTTATTCATCTACATTGTTGGGCTCAGACTAGGGCTTTCAAAACTCTACAGTACAGGTTTTTAGATAGACTGTTTAATTGTTTAATTATGTTTGATATAATTATATGGAAACATGCTTTTTTTTTTATCTATTTCATTAAAATACATGTAAACACTAAACAGTTGCATGATAAAAGATTTTTGTACAATATTGATGATTTTATATATTTCTTGTTAAAAATTTTGTTACTGTATTGAAATCATACCTTACATCTCCATGATTCTAATTCTGATTGAGTTGGATTTAATAGATATCGGCCTACCTATACCTTTATTCATATGACAGCATCTGAAATATATTCTTTGTTTTGACTGTGAATTTTAGGCCAGATGTAAAATTAAGAAAAGGGAAAGATGTTAAATGAGAGTTGTTCATTGATTGAAGAAATCAAATAACTTTCCGAATAAAAGTGGTAAGTATAAATTCATTTACATATTTATAATTATTTTAACCCTCATTAAAGGAAAAGTCCAGCTGTTCTAGATTTGTTATATTAATATCTTCAATGATTTGAAATCACCCAGTAATGATTTGTGTTTCTTCAAATTCCTTATTTATATTATTAGGCTATAAGAAGTAATATGGGTGTGATGCATGTGTTGGTATTCTTACTGTGAATAGAACCTCACACCACTTCTCAGTTTAAAGCAATAATTGCATTTTAAAATAAAGCCTTAAAATACATGGCATCTATACACACAGACCACACAATCCTACATTGTTAAAGAATATTCCTAAATCCTTTAATTCACTTGTGTCAGTTGAGAAATTGGCAAATATATCCTTTTCTTTTAAAATCCAACTTTGCTTTTTTATACGCCCACATAGATAGGTGGTTGTATATTGCCATCGCCCCTGTCCGTCCGTCGTCCACAATTTCTTGTGAACGCTCTACAGACTAAATTTACCATCTGATTGTTTTGAAATTAATATATGTTGTTTACATCAGTGGGATGAAGAAGCCTATTTAATTTCCATAATTTTCACTTTGTTGAACCTTGTGAACACTTAATTGACAAAAGTTATTGTCCGATCTGTATGAAATTTGTATGCACCATTTAAATTAGTGAAATGAAGAAGCCTATTGAATGTCAGCAATTTTCATTAATTACAAATGGTGTTATTGCCCTTGTTTCACTTTGTTGCTCCTTGTGAACGCTCTTACGACAAAAGTTGTCATCTGTTCTGTATGAAATATATGTGCATTATTAGAATATCAATAATTTCAGTACTTCCAGAGTTAAGTTCTTGTTTTAGTGTGTAGAACCCGTGAACCTTCAAACAACGAAAATTAAAATCTGATCTGTATGAAACTGCCATGTAAATGACCGCTTGGACGATTTAATGGCAACCTATCTTTAAGGTTTGATAAGTCTTGCTCAACCAGGCGTTATTATCCTTATCTGTTTAACCACGGACCTTGACAATCGAGACAAGTCACGCTTCCATTGTGTAGACTTAGTTTACAATGATACAATTTCCAAATACCGCCAGCAAGTAGAAATTACATGTATTTCATATTTTTATGTGAATGTTTTAAGTGCTAGACTGATTCCTATGATTGTATAGTAGTGATTTGACAATCTATATCGATGTGAATGTTTTTTAAGTGCTAGAATGATTCCTATGATTGTACATGTATAATAGTGATTTGACAACCTATTACATCTAAGTAATATAGAAATAATTATGTTTTGAGTTTCTTAGAAAATATGCAATTATCGCTTTAATAAGAGTTCACACAAGTTAACAATTATTTTTGTATTTCGGTCAGGTTGTTTTTTTTGTGTATTTCAGTTCTGTCAATGCCCAAAATTTGTTAATAGAGATGATTGGTGAGATCAAGATAGTCGTTTGGTGTACAGATTTTTAAAAACAAATACATCATGTTATACTGTTTACAGAATGATAATTTAATAGTTTGAGACATGGCCATTGGCTATATATAATTTGATCATGTGATATATGGCTGTTATAAATTGTAATAAAGATGTCTAAAGGAATTTAGAATCAAATATATAAACTGAAATTCATTTATTGATAAAATTGGACTAGGAGGGACTCTTCTAGTCCAATGTTGGGATTTCAAAATTTTTCTTGTCAGTTTTACCGAAAATAAAGGGACATAACTCTTATCGTTATTTAAGCAGTATTTAGTATATATCAGTTATCTCTATCTGTATGTGATAATATACTAAATACTGATTTGCATAGACCGCAGAACATCTGGACACCTCAAAGGTACAATTAGTACAAAAGACTCCCTAATATCATGTGAATATTAATAGGACTGGTAGCTATATAGCCCTTTGTAAACAATTGTTATATTTTAGAAAAGAGAATAGGATGTTAATCCCATTTCAATTTCTATATTTTAGAAATTCAAAATTCTTTAAACAAGGTTGAGATTCACTTCTTTAAAATGCAATCAAATGTAATATTTATTGTGTGTAAATTGATTGTTATCACCCTTTCTCCTGTATTCTATTATAGTTGTTGGGTATAACCAGTAGTATTTGTTTTGTGCAGATAGCAGATTTTTTCTAATGGCATGTGAATTACCTACATCCCTTCATTATCCCTCATTTACACTTATATTTGTCTGTTCATCCACTGTCCACAATTCATTGTGATGGTTCAAGCTGAAAATTATTTACAGATTAATTGAACACGCTTGTGTTCTTGGGGACCTTTATAGACTGTTATTTAAAAAAAAAGGTGTAACCTGGTCTGGTGTGTACTCAAAATTGTTTGTCATATTTTTTGTTTATAAAGTCTTTCAGTGACAAAACTGTTTTAATATTGTTTACTGTGTGTACATATTTTATATATACCTACCTACCTACAATACTTATTGACCATGTTAAAATAAACTGCTAGATATAGCATGTAAGATATGTGTCATGACAGATCAGATTTTTAATCTCAATTTTTAAATATTCATTGTAAAAACTATGTTACTTGTCATGTAAATAAATTGTTATCTTGTTGAATTTTTGTTAGTACCAGTCATATTACTTAAACATGCATTATGCATGTGTTTCTTTAGGCTTGAAATGTTATATAAACTATTAATTCGACATGTATTAACATAATCAACTCTCGATGCCATCTTATATGTCCAATTGTCATTGGATTTGTTAATTATCTTGACAGCGCTAACGATGACAATTGAAGCTACAAAGATTTTTAGAACAGGACTTTCTCGACTTAAGTGAAGCAATTTGACTGAAATTTTCAGCTTATTCCCTTTACATTATCTAGTTTTGATGATTAAAAATAGATAATCAAGACTTTGTTAACAAGCCAACACTGAGGCTGATGTCCCCACTGAAATCCTCAAATAAATAGATGACACATATTAATAAAATTAATCGCACATCTTTTTTTTTTTCAACAGTATCAAGCAATCAAACTGATTATCAACTATACACTAAGTTTCATCACTCTCTATCAGATAGAATCAAAGTTATCTTGTCCCAAAGCATTGACTAAGGAAATTGGTTATCTCTGCTTAGCTTTAGCTCGATATGTTAATCATTGAACTCAGTCAAGACAAACATCTACATCCAAGTTTAAACATACTATCTTAATTAGAAGCAGAGTTATGTTCCAAAGTCTTAACCAATCAAAATGCTTATTGCTCCTTGGCCTAAGCAGAAAATTCTCATCATCGAACTCAGTCAAGGTATTGATGTAATGAAACTATACACCAAGTTTCATCACTCTCACTTAATTAGAACTAAAGTTATCGTGTCCCAAAGCATCAACCAATCAAATTGCTTATCTCGGCTTACCCTAAGCAGAAAATGCTCATCTTTGAACTCCATCAAGGCATTGACCTAATAAATACCTACACTAAGTTTGAACATTCTAGGTCAATTAGAAGGAGAGTTATCGTGTACTAAACAGTTTGACGGACGAACGAACCCATTTTAATAGTCCCCTGCTTTCTTCGAAAGGCGGGGGACAATTATCGTGGCAGCACTAACAATGACAATTGAAGCTACAAAGATTTTTAAAACAGCAATTTGACTGACATTTTCAGCAAATCCCATTACATCATCTAGTTTTTATCTATTATAGCGAGAACTGTCAGCTCTTTATCTAATTTTCCATAATGTATCTTTAAGCTGTGGGCACATTAGCTGAATCATTCGGCCGAATCAATTAGTGCCAAATTTTATTCAGGCGAAAGTGTGGACACATAGGCGAAACCTTCGGGCGATTTACCAGTCAATTGCATCACATTTCAAGTCACGTGATTAAACATGGCAGCAACCATGTCTTGAAACAATCACATGACTTCTCAATACAAGTGGTGATTGGCTAATGAATAATAGAATCAGGCGAATGCTTCAGTGAAGCGTACACATTAGACAAATATAATTCGGTTGAATTAAAATTCAGCCGAATATATCAAACATGTTTTCTTTGGGCAAATCATTTGAGGCGGATTGATTCAGCTGAATCATCGGCTAGTGTGTCCACCGCTTTATGTTATCACTTCTGATATCTAACATGTTTTCAGGTAGACTTCAAAGTATATAGCGATTCATGACCAATGAATTTAAGTAATAATGGCAAAGATAAAGATAGGTTGCCAGGTAACGAAACATACGCCCACAGCAGCTATATCGTCCGGGCAGTCAACAAGAGTTGTCGCATATTTTTACTTTTTTCTGTAATGAAACATTTACAATACATTAAAATCTGATTAAGAGTAACAACTCATTAAGTAATTATCAGAAAACCATTAGAATTTGTTCGGTTTTTATAAAGTTCTGCCCCATGCTAACGTTTAGTATACAAAACTTTTAACATCATGGATTTAGCTGTTCAAGTCATAAAGATTCATTGAAAATCAATATACTTGTTCGTCTCAAGACCTTAAACACTGTGTATAAATTTAAAATCAATCCGATATAAACTTTACCCTCTAGAGCGTCCACAAGATTTTTCGAAGTGATCAAGGGCCATAACTCTGGCAGTAATTATCAAAAATCGTTGAAAATCAATAGGCTTCTTCGTCTCATGACCTTAAACACTGTTTATAAATTTAAAGTCAATCGGATATTAACTTTGACCTTTAGAGCGTCCACAAGATTTTTCAAAGTGATCAAGGGCCATTACTCTGGCAGTAATTATCGAAAATGGCTGAAAATGAATAGACTTCTTCGTCTCATGACCTTAAACACTGTGTATGAATTTAAAGTCAATCGGATATTAACTTTAGCCTCTAGAGCGTCCACAAGATTTTTTGAAGTGATCAAGGGCCATAACTCTGGCAGTAATTATCGGAAATCGCTGAAAATCAATAGGCTTCTTCATCTCATGGCCTTAAACACTGTATATAAATTTAAAGTCAATCGGATATTAACTTTAGCCTCTAGAGCGTCCACAAGCAATTGTGGACGCCCGACCGACGGACGGACGGGGGCGACGACAATATACGACCACATTTCAATGTGGGCGTATAAAAAGGGCACTAGTTGAAAAATAAATAACAAAACAAAAAACATGTACATACATTAAGACCTAATTTAATCAGAATTACACTCTTCATAACAAAAAGAAGTGAATTTAAACACTTATTACACATTTCTATAGCACACAGCCACATAAATGTTTTACAAAGACATAGAGCAAAACAATATTACATTTAAATAAGAAAACCATTTAACAAAAAGCATACAATTGTACTTGATAAAATATGAAAGTAAAAATTCTTATTTAAATAAAATTAGATGTAATTCAAATTATAATAGCTCTGGATAATTTATTAAAAAGATAACTGGGTGAAAGCCTCTTTAAATAAATATATACTGAGCGCCATGGAAAACGCATCACTTTTTTTTTCCAAATATTTTATTACTAGGTGGTTTTGTATGTATACTGAGCGCCATGGAAAACGCATCACTTAGTTTTTCGTATAACAAAATGATCCTGTAAACATATCTTATTTATTTTGCTTCTTATTGTGAACAATATTCAAATGGGAACACATCAATAACAACACATTTGTACACTTATGGATGTTTAATCTGTAATCAACGGTACAAAGTCAGAGGGGTCAAAACCCCATCCCCTTTCTTCGTTCATATCATATATAGGGACTCTATTCTTTTCGAGGCGGACAAGGACAGCTGTCTAGTCTTTCGGATGGGACGAAAAACCGAGGTCCCGTGTATACATTGGCGTGGACGTAAAAGATCCCTTGACAGATGGAATTCGATATAAGAGTATGCCGTAGTGCCGCTGTCCGGGCAAAATTTCCCTCATCGCACAGTGTATGGCGTATGCCCGTCTTCATTAGCCCAGTTCCAAGCAGAACAGTAGGACGTTAAAACCCCATTTCATTTCTTTTCATATCTTGAAACTAGTTGGGAAGCCCCCCGGTCCCTACCCCATGCCCCGGCTCCTTCAGCTATGTCTACGAGCATGATTTGCTACTATATTATGTTAGCCCGCTGCCACCGCTGCTTAATATTGAGCGACTTGTTTATTCGACTGAATTATTCGACTGGATTATTCGACTGAAGTATTCGACTGAACTTTTCGACTGAATTATTCGACTGGTTTATTCGACTGGATTATTCGACTGAACTAACTGACTGATTTTATCGACTGGACGAGGCCACATGAAAATGTCAAATACCTCACCCCCCCCCACCCCATCCCCTTTCTTCGTTCATATCATATGTAGGGACTCTATTCTTTTCGAGGCGGACAAGGACAGCCGTCTAGTCTTTCGGATGGGACGAAAAACCGAGGTCCCGTGTATACATTGGCGTGGACGTAAAAGATCCCTTGACAGATGGAATTCGATATAAGAGTTTGCGGTAGTGCCGCTGTCTGGGCAAAATTTCCCTCATCGCACAGTGTATGGCGTATGCTCGTCTTCATAAGCCCAGTTCCAAGCACAACAGTTGGACGTTAAAACCCCATTTCATTTCTTTTCATTTCTTGAAACTAGTTGGGAAGCCCCCCGGTCCCTACCCCATGCCCCGGCTCCTTCAGCTATGTTTACGAGCATGATTTGCTACTATATTATCTTAGCCCGCTGCCACCGCTGCTTAATATTGAGCGACTTGTTTATTCGACTGAATTATTCGACTGGATTATTCGACTGAACTATTCGATTGAACTATTCGACTGAAGTATTCGACTGGTTTATTCGACTGGATTATTCGACTGAACTAACTGGCTGATTTTATCGACTGGATGAGGCCACATGAAAATGTCAAATACCTCACCCCCCCCCCCCCCGCTCCACCCCATCCCCTTTCTTCGTTCATATCATATATAGGGACTCTATTCTTTTCGAGGCGGACAAGGACAGCTGTCTAGTCTTTCGGATGGGACGAAAAACCGAGGTCCCGTGTATACATTGGCGTGGACGTAAAAGATCCCTTGACAGATGGAATTCGATATATGAGTATGCCGTAGTGCCGCTGTCCGGGCAAAATTTCCCTCATCGCACAGTGTATGGCGTATGCCCGTCTTCATTAGCCCAGTTCCAAGCAGAACAGTAGGACGTTAAAACCCCATTTCATTTCTTGAAACTAGTTGGGAAGCCCCCCGGCCCCTACCCCATGCCCCGACTCCTTCAGCTATGTCTACGAGCATGATTTGCTACTATATTATCTTAGCCCGCTGCCACCGCTGCTTAATATTGAGCGACTTGTTTATTCGACTGAATTATTCGACTGAAGTATTCGACTGAACTTTTCGACTGAATTATTCGACTGGTTTATTCGACTGGATTATTCGACTGAACTGACTGATTTTATCGACTGGACGATACCACATGCAAATGTCAAATACCTCACCCCCCCCGCCCCCCCGGCCCCATCGCATCCCCTTTCTACGTTCATATCATATATAGGGACTCTATTCTTTTCGAGGCAGACAAGGACAGCTGTCTAGTCTTTCGGATGGGACGAAAGACCGAGGTCCCGTGTATACATTGGCGTGGACGTAAAAGATCCCTTGACAGATGGAATTCGATATAAGAGTAGGCCGTAGTGCCGCTGTCCGGGCAAAATTTCCCTCATAGCACAGTGTATGGCGTATGCCCGTCTTCATTAGCCCAGTTCCAAGCAGAACAGTAGGACGTTAAAACCCCATTTAATTTCTTGAAACTAGTTGGGAAGCCCCCCGGTCCCTACCCCATGCCCCCTGGCTCCTTCAGCTATGGCTACGAGCATGATTTGCTACTATATTATCTTAGCCCACTGCCACCGCTGCTTAATATTGAGCGACTGAAGTATTCGACTGAACTTTTCGACTGAATTATTCGACTGGTTTATTCGACTGGATTATTCGACTGAACTAACTGACTGATTTTATCGACTGGACGAGGCCACATGAAAATGTCAAATACCTCACACACCCCCCCCCCCCCCCGCCCCATCGCATCCCCTTTCTACGTTCATATCATATATAGGGACTCTATTCTTTTCGAGGCAGACAAGGACAGCTGTCTAGTCTTTCGGATGGGACGAAAAACCGAGGTCCCGTGTATACATTGGCGTGGACGTAAAAGATCCCTTGACAGATGGAATTCGATATAAGAGTAAGCTGTAGTGCCGCTGTCCGGGCAAAATTTCCCTCATAGCACAGTGTATGGCGTAGGCCCGTCTTCATTGGTCATATATAGGGACTATTCTTTTCGAGGTGGGGGCCAACAATAATAGTATCTACTTAAGTACAATTATCTCCTGCGACGGGTGAGGACCAAACCCCGCCCAAGCCCTCGGCTTCTACAGCTATGGCAACGAACATTGAGCAACTCAATATTATCTTGGTTCGCTGTTGGGCTGTTTTTCCGACTGGTTTCATCGACTGAAGTATTTGACTGATTTTATCGACTGAGATATGTGTGGGATTTTATCGTCTGGACGAGGCCACGTTAAAATGTCAGATTTATGTAAGATGAATCATTACTTGGAAAGACCTAGGAAAACTATATACTACATGTAATTGGGGATCCGATTTATAGGAAGTTATAAGTTGTTTAATTGTTGCTGTTATGTGGGCACTATTTGCTCCTGAAATAAAGTGTTGAAGATCCAGTCCAAGAAACTGCCAAGGGATCTTTTACATGCACGCCAATGTGTACATGGGACCTTGGTTTTTCATGACACCCGAAAGACTAGACAGCTGTAGTTTTTGTCACACCCTCCGTCCTGCCCTACGGTTAGTCATTAGAAGCAGACAGCAATTAATTTGTCAGTCGATTTAAATAACTAAAGTGGGTGGTCTGTTAAGTTTCTTTTACTATTGTTTAAATGACTTAATCCTTCAATAATTATATGTTTATGTCAATACTTTCATAGTAACTAATTTATATAAAAAGAAAAATGTATGTAAGATGAATTATAGTTGGAGAGACCAGCTGAGGGAACCTATATACCAGTTGGAGGACCAATTTATAGGAAGTTATAAGTTGTTTACTTGTTGCTGTTATTTATTTGCACTTGAAATAAAGTGTTGAAGATCTATTCGAAAAATCTGTATTCATTTCCGATACTTAGAGAACACTCTCGACCAGATACATTCCCTGAAAGTGGAACCGTGTTATGAGCATGAAAGGGCTACTCAATGAAATAAAATGGGCTTTAACGTCCTACTGTTGTGCACCAACTGAGCTAATAAAGTCAGGCATATGCCATACAGGGGATCTTTTACATGCATGCCAATGTGTACATGGGACCTTGGTTTTTCATCCCATCCAAACGACTGCCCCACTGACAGGGGGAAACCACCCGGAAAATCCTGAGGAACTTTTTCGGCCAATACCAGGAACAAACCTCCAGGCTAGCGAGCCAGTGTCTTACTCACTTAGCCAATTGGCTTCAGGCTACTTATTGTTATCTTAGTTCACTCCAATTAGTGATTCATAAAGTATGGTCCTCCACCATCAAGTCAAGCGACTGCTTTTTTTCGACTGAAATATACACTGAAATATTCGACTTGACGAGGTCACAAAAAAAACCCTGACTCGTCCAATACCCCCAGCCCCTGACTACAGGCCTATGTAGGATTCTATTCACTTAGATGACGGGCCAAAAACATTACTCTCCGTTTAGTACATGTATCAACTAAATACCTAGATCATAAGACTTTTGCCCGAAAAATCTGACTTTAAAGTAGTTGGGAGGGGCGGGGGGTGAGGCCCCTGGATACGACCATGATTGGGCTATTCTATATTACCTTAGCTCACTGCCACCGGTACTTAATATTGAGCGACTGGTTTTATCGACTGGGATATTTGACTGTTTTTTCGCCAGGATTATTCAACTGGTTTTATTGACTAGATTATTTGACTGTTTTTTTTCAACTGGATTATTTGACTGGTTTTGTTGACTGAATTATTCGACTGGTTCTGTCAACTGAATTATTTGACTGATTTTATTGTCGAAAAAAGTCAAATATCCCAGTCAATAAAACTATTTTCTTGTGGCCTCATCCAGACGATAAAGCCAGTCAAATATCTCAGTCAATAAAACGAGTCAAATAATTCAGTCGATAAAACCAGTCCGATAAAATAAGTCGAATATCTCAGTCGATAAAACAAGTCAAATACCTCAGTCGATAAAACCATGGACCTTATAATACCATGATAAAACCAGTCGAATATCACAGTCAATAAAACAAGTCGAATATCTCAGTCAATAAAACTAGACGAATATCACTGTCGATAAATCCACATCCCAGATCAAGTTGGGTCTTCATACCAGATCAAGTTGACAAAATGTGCTTTTGACAGTTATATGATGAGAAGTTAAAAACAGCCGTTCAATAATAAGCAGGAATTGCAGTGAACTAAGATAATACCGAGTAGTTCAGTCATACCCATAGCCATAGCTGTAAAAGAGCCGGGGGCTTGCACCTCCCTCCCCTGCCAAATAGTTTCAAGTTCAATTTATGGGGCAAAAGTAGTCTGATAATTAGGTATTTAGGGCCGGGGATAGCCGAAAAAACAGTCAAATAATCCGGTCAAAAAAAAATCAAGCAGATAATTCAGTCGAATAATCCAGTCGCTCAATATGACGAGGAAAAACGTAAAGCTTGACTTTATTAAGCAGTGGTGGCAGTAACTAAGATAACAACATGTAGCCTACTCCTCTATAAATCCCTCCACACGGTTGTTTTTATTCCGAAGCGACTAGATACTATGCTGTCATCAGTTTTATGCATCGGACACAGACTTAATTCAAGTTGTTTACATTAGTACGGCCATTGTTTTCAGTTGATGACGTCAGTCGTTGACCCTTAACCCTAGATGACGACCTTACTCGCAAAGAGAGGTCAACACGTTGTTTAGGGGATTGCTATTGGAAGGAAAATCTCAATAAAGTTGTGACTTCAACTGTCAGATTTGAACTTGGGGGAAAATAATCAAAATAGACAAAAAACGATGTAATCATATTTGAGTTAGTGCGTTTTTTATTTCAGTCAAACAAACTATTCCCAAATTTTAGCCCAACCATCGACCGAGTTTGTTGACTGGAAATTCTAGTGGTACTTAGGGGTAATTGCTAATTTTAGTCAATTTAATACCCATTTACACTAAATCGGAAATAATTTTTACCTGCAAATACGTCAAACGCCTTTATTTATTTTTCCAATATATACAAAATATGTTTTAGAATTTAATTTAATATTTAAGTTAATATTTCTAGCTCATTAAGCCGCATCAATGTCATCCTTATCATTAGCAAATATTCACTGCGGATCAGTGTGGTGCGGTCCAACTGTACTTAGATCTATGATTGGACAAGAGTCTAGTATAGTTGAGGCGTAATTTGTTCACGGAAGTATTTCCAGTGCAACGCCAAGTAGGCCATTTTCTTACTAGAATTAGCAATACCTGTAGGACTAGGAGTGTAGCCCTTTTTATATAACCTTCCTTGAGGTTTTATATCCTTCCTTGATTTGGCAAATAACTTCAAAACAGAAGATGAATGACAAAGACTGAAGAGAATGATATAGATTGATCAGATGCCGACTCATGAATTCTCGACGTTATGTTGCGAAACGCGTGAAACGGCGAGAAAGGTGGTTCATCACTTCCGGTCTTCTGTTCTCGCTGTTTGTTTACTATAGGCCCAGTAGCGATATTTTTATTTAGCGCTTTCTTGTAGTTTAAATGTGGCATCATCTGGTTAAATGGAAACGAGAAATAGAAGGAATGTTCGAGGTAAGAATAAAAATGATTATCTTATAATTTTGATATTATATTGTATTATAAATAAGTATTACATTTCATGAAAATCTCGACACGTGTGTTGCCCAGTTAAGGCAAAGTTTGACAGCTTTGACCTACTTTTAAAAATCGGCAAAATAGAGTTTTCAATTCATTAATTTGTAAAATAATACTTGCAGATCATTAATAAATCGTAAATACATAAAATACAGTTTGGTATGAATAATAACATTGCTATATATAATATAAGCTTTTAATTACACAATTTTTTTAAAAATCTTTTGTATTTTCAGCAGAACTGTACTGCCTGGTAGCCTACCTGTCTTTTGTTTGCTACCTTGGGGCCTAGGGGAGTACCAGCTTGTGAAGCAAATATATTTCATGATGATTTATTGTGATACTGATAAATAATTGTATGTTTTATTTATGTTATTTACTTCTTTTCATATTGTGTGGGTGGGTGGGGGGTATAAATATTGAGACATTAGACACTAATATATTGATAAAGTATTTTATTTTATGTATCTATTTATTTATATTTTTATTTATTTTTTTTATTTCATTTATTTTTTTTTTGGGGGGGGGGGGGATATTATTATTTTCATTATTTTATTTGTTTTATTTTAATACTCAACAAGGGATTTGGTTTCAATTGTTTGATTGTATTATATCATTATTGATTTTAATTTTGTATAGTTGAATTAAGCATAATTATTTAATTTTATGTATTTCAAACATCAGAAAATAAACCATTCAAGCTATGTGTAATGTGTTTGTATGGTTATGTTGATGGTTAAATAGGTTGAGAATTGAAGTCAAATGACCCAATTTTCGCGAAAAAGGGTTCTGCCAGTTGGTGTTACAGAATTCAGTCAATTTTGCTCCGATATTGATAAGATTGGTTTTGTTACAATGCTGAGATGTATGGCTTTTTAGGAAATAACACGGTTCTGGAGAAAAATTAATATTTAAAAATAGCTGCCATTCGATATTTAAGGATATGGGTTTACTGTTCCATGTAATTAAATTAATCATTAAAAATATAACCTACAATTTTTGTTTCAATTAAATAAGTTAATCTTAACAATAATATTAGGCTATTGCATTTTTTGATTTAAATAATTTAATCTTATCAGTTGAGGAAGAAAGAGTTGGTATTTCAATCTAATAAGGTGCCTATAAATTATATAATTATTCATCCAATTATGTAACATTAACATTGTTTGATCGCTTTATTTAATAATACATTTATTAATTTATCATAAAAGTATTGTTAATTAAAGATGCGTTTTTAAATGTTAAACAGGCATGATGTAAGAGCTAAATCTGCTTATTGCAGGTCTTTCTTTGGGCCTTAATGTTATGTAAATTATCAATTAGACATTTATTAACTTGAAAAGACCATAATCAACTCTCGATGCCATCTGATTGCTCAGATTTTAAATAGATTAGAACGGTATGGTGGTAAATTTTCAATATATTCAATTTGCATTATCTATTTTTGAAATGTTATAGTTAATAGTGAGAACGACCACCTCTTTATCTAAATCTTACATAATTCCCCTTCAAATTTATGTCTATTGTTATTGTATTATTTTAATTTAGGACATAAAGAAATATATTTTGGTTCTCGCTTGGATGACGTGTTTTAATTTTTTTTTTTTTTTAAAAAAACCCTAACAAAACAGTCTTGTTAATTACTGCATGTAAATAATTTACCCCGGTTACACGAAGTAACTCTGTAAAAAAATTTGACTAGATCTATAGGCTAATTTGTCAAGTATGCAAACAAGTTAAATGTTAATGACATGAATGATATTGGATACCGTAATCATATATTCATATAAACAACATGATGAGATAAATGTAGTGCCTTACAATTTTTAAAAACTCATCTGTTACAAACAAGTGATAACTTAGAGCTAAAGACTTTGTGTAGGTATGTTTTGCCAAGCGCTATGAACACAATTTTTGCGGAATTTTGGCGCTATAGAAATGGACGTTTATTATATTTATTTATTTGGTTCTTCTGGAAAAATACATACATCTATTTAAACACCAAAAGTACTTGGCTGTTCTGTTCAAAAGCTTATAGTTCCAAATTTTTAAACAAACCATCTTTCACATGATTTAATTAGCTATTTATTTTTATATCGAAGCCCGAAGAACAGAAAATCAAATTGGTGTGGCCAACATTGAAATATCAGATATCAAGGATGAAGTTGCCTTTATCAACTCTTGTAAATCTTTTAATGTACAGGATTCCTGGAAGAATCTATTTTAGAACAAAAATTCCTTTTCATTGATAACTAAAGCAATAATTCCTTTTTTATTTAATACCAATAGTGTTTTCTTTTTCCTTATATATAATTGTTATATCTACTGAAGCTAATTTAATTTCTCAACAAAGCCTAGATCAAAAAGACTATGAAATAATTGCTTACATTGGGGTGGATTTATATAAGTAAACTTTTTTCCAGTTGTGCAAGCTGAAAAAAAAGTATGTGTGTATTTTTTTTATTTTTTTTTTGGGGGGGGGGCTGCATTTATAAAATTAACTAAATTAAATGACAGAGGGACTTAAAATAAATAAATGGCCATTTTCTAAAATTATTAATTAGGCCTAGATTGGAAAAGAATTTTGTAGGGATATTTACATCTTTATCAACTAAAGTATACAAACAAAGCTGAATTTATTTAAAAAATGCACATTTGAATATAAACAAGATTTTTAAAACTGTTCTAATATACCATGCAATTGATAATAAAATGCAACATCTAATTTTATTAATCATACTATAGATAGGCCTATACCGTAGGCCTGTGTGTGGCACAGAGGTGCGGGTTAGTTAGCTCGCAAATTAAATTGTAGAACATTTTTTTTGAAGTATTAGAAAAATAAAAATAAAGGTGTTTGATGTATTATCTCTATATCAAAAATATTTCCTAATTTTAGTGTAAATTGGTACGGTACATGAATGAAGAAAGGCATTTTTTGCCCATTTGTAACCTTTTTGTCCCCCGCCTTTCGAAGAAAGCAGGGGACTATTAAAATGGGTTCGTCCGTCTGTCTGTCTGTCTGTCCGTCTGTCTGTCCGTCACACTTTTTGGGACACAATAACTCTCCTTCTAATTGACCTAGAATGTTCAAACTTGGTGTAGGTGTTTATTAGGTCAATGCCTTGATGGAGTTCGAAGATGAGCATTTTCTGCTTGGGGTAGGCAGAGATAAGCAATTTGATTGGTTGATGCTTTGGGACACGATAACTTTAGTTCTAATTAAGTGAGAGTGATGAAACTTGGTGTATAGCTTCATTACATCTATACCTTGACTAAGTTCGATGATGAGGATTTTCTGCTTAGGCTAAGGAGCAATAAGCATTTTGATTGGTCAAGACTTTAGAACATAACAACTCTTCTTCTAATTGAGGTAGAATGTTTAAACTTGATGTAGATATTCGTCTTGACTGAGTTCAATGATTAACATATCGAGCTAAAGCTAAGCAGAGATAAGCAATTTCCTTGGTCGATGCTTTGGGACAAGATAACTTTAATTCTATCTGATAGAGAGTGATGAAACTTAGTGTATAGTTGATAATCAGTTTGATTGCTTGATACTTTGGAAAAAAATAGATGTGCGATTAATTAATATGTGTCATCTATTTATTTGGGGATTTCGGCGGGGGACATCAGCCTCACTGTTGGCTTGTTTCAACTTAACGTCACACAGTAGCTATTTAATCTTTTGCAATAATCTAAAAATATTTTGGAAGGAGATATCTTGTTCTTTTTTTCATATAATTTTTATATACGTTTTCATTTTATTAATTTCATAAACCTAAGTTTCAAAAACGTCAATTTCGCGTGTCACTGTGCGTACGTACATGTGCTGTCGAAAGCTAGACCGGAAGTAAACAACCCCCCCTGCGCAAAAAAATATGCGCACGAACCAGAACGCAACATCACGTAAGGGCTAAAGACGAGTCGGCAATCATACGGTATTATCTCTATGATCAGATGAATTGACTCACTTAATGTAATGTTGTTATCAATAGGCCCTAATATTAATTGTCGGATTTTAATATTTGATACATTTTGACATAGCCAGAGACAAGGCACATTGACATACCGGTAGCTACAGTTCTTTAGATTTTTTTATCTTCGGAGATATTGTAGGCGCCAAATTTGAAAATTTAAATTTTTATGAAAAATTTTTTTATTAATGAATATTTTTATGTGGTATTTTACCCAGGGTTAAACAGCCCTCTGATTTGACCTTGGCCCCCATTGGCTACTTCAGTTTTTCAGTCCTGGATTATTTATTTATTGTTCGATTTGTATAAAACAAAGTTCATATGCTCCGTTTTCCGAAATGTCATTTTTTTTGTTACCTAAATATTTTCCTGTCGGCACCGAAAGTGATATAATTTTACCAAAAACTACAATTTTAACAGTTCGGAACCACTTTTTGAAAGCAATATACAGGTCACAATTCTATGGAATACTGCTTTTTACTGAGCGACGTTTTGACTGGGCTTCTCTAGTCATTATCAAGCTATTATATTTTTTTCAAATCTGGTATAACTGAAAGGGTGTGCCATTTAAAGGTGCACAAAATGTCGGGCTCGTTTTTTTTAATTTCGATTTCATTTTCGGGCTATTTCGATTTAAAGGTGAAAAAAGGTGTAGAATTAAGCTATTTACAACCCATCCAGCGTTTTCATATTTTGAAATATTTCTTCGTAACTTTCATAAACTCGTAGCAATAATCTATACGGAGAGAATGTATGTGAAAATTAATTTGTAATATGCGCAGTTGCCGAGAAATAAGCAATTTTGCATGCGTCACTTTTCACGTTATTTAGCCTGTAAAAGAGTCAATTATCATTGATTTCAATATTTTTTTTACAATTTGATGCCTAATGCAAATTTTGACTAGGTCGAACCATCTTAACATTTACACTGTCACCGGAAATGACCTCATGTGGGCAAAAACTGTATTTTAAGCATTCAGAACAGATATTTCATTCAAATGAGTCTGATTTGTAATGTTTTTCAAATTATGATATTTAATTGAAATCGGGGGATCACGTGGCTAAGTGGGTAAGGCGCTGGCTCGCTAGTCTGGAGGTCAGGTGTTCGATTCCTGCATTGGCCGAGAAAGTTCATCTCGATTTTCAGGCGTGGTTTCCCCTTGTCAGTGATGCAGAATGGAAGGCCTGACAAGGACAGCTGCCTAGTCGTTCGGATGGGACGAAAAACCGAGGTCCCGTGTACACATTGGCGTGCACGCAAAAGATCCCTTGGCAGTTGGAATTCGATATAAGAGTAGGCCGTAGCGCCACTGCCCTGGCAAAATTTCCCTCATAGCACACTGTATGGCGTATGCCCGTCTTCAATTAGCCCAGGTTAGGTGCAGAAGAGTAGGACGTTAAACCCCATTTCATTTCATTTCATCATTTAATTCAAATCAACAAACAGAATGAACCCATACGATCATACAGATACCACAAAATGGTTTCTAACTTGTACGGTTGCAGAGAAATGGGCGATTTTCTACAAGTCACTTTTCAAGGTTTTTGGTCTATAAAAGTGGCAATTATTATTCGATTTTCATAAAATTTTCACCATGTGATGCCTGATGCCGTTTATGATTTTATGGAACTAATTTAACATTTTCATTATCACCGGAAATAATGTCGTTTTGGCAAAAACTGTATTTTTAGCCTTCAAAACAAATGTTTTTTTAAGTGAGTTACATTTATTATTCGTTTAACATTATGATATTTGATTCCAATGGAGATATAGATTGGATCAATATGATCATATAGATGGCCAAAAATTGCTTCTACCATCTTTCTTTGTCGAGAAATAACCAATTTTGTCAGGATCACTTTTTAAGACTTTTTTCACATTTTAAGTTCCCATTAGCTAGTCAGCTAACTTAATGGTAATTTACACCCGACAAACCTCAACAGATTCCAGTACCCTACATCTAATCTCGGCTGTATGACAAAGTCCGCCATTAGAACTACTTTTAAGTTCCCGGATTACAATGGCATTGTCCATGACGACCAATGACATCATTGATGACGACGTATTTGAAGAATGTTTTATCTTACAAAATTTTCAAAGTTTGAAGCTGTTTTTCTTTCAAGTTTATCCGATTTTCTTTAGAAAAGGACAAATTTGCACTGAAAATTCACACACTCTTCGAAAGACGCAATTTTGAGAACTTCTTTCTAAACGCGGGCTAGTTTCCCTTATAAGTAAACCGGTGCCGCATCGCAAATGTATAGGCGTAGGTACATATCACTTACTGTCATACAGCCGGGGCTAGATGTAAGGTACCGGAATCTGCCGAGGTTTGCCGAGTGTGGTAAGTTAGTAATAAATTTTGTCATGATTACTTTTTTGACATATCTAACGCATGGTAACAAATGTATAAATGGAAATGATATTGCTGGATTTGGTTGATTCTGCGTCCATTTCATAACACGTGTGCAATGCTTATGTGGAAATCTCTTTAACGGTTTCATTGGTACCGAATGTGACATAAGTTCAAGGGTAACGAGGCACCGGAAGTGACATAAGTTCAAGGGTAACGTGGCACTGCAGTTCTAGTTCCTTTTCTTTTGGTGTCTCTTTCATTCACCTGATGTGGGCGGGGGTGGGTGGATGGCCGAATGGTTAGCATGTGCACGCTGTATCATAAGGTCTGCCATTAATAATAATAATAATAATCATTTTATTTCAAAATTGAGTCAACTGGCGTGGTTTCAATTCCACGCTTGTACGTGGCAAAGAGTAGTGTCGTCTGCCCAACCTCGTGGGTTTACTCCCGGTCCTCCAATTTCCTCCCAATGATAAGAACCCTACGCGCACGCGAATTGTTGAAATAAAATTTAACCAAGTGTTAGTCCCGAAATGACGTGGTTTGTGTCGAGTGGATGTTAAACCCCAATTCTCTCTCTCTCTCATTCACCTTTTCTGCACTCTCTTTATTATGCACACCTAATGAATCTCTGCCATTTGTCATTCATCTTCTGCCAGGGCTTTAGCACTATCATTGTCATATCCATCTACTGGTAATGAATTGTCAGTCATTCTCTTTGTCATTCCTCTGGTGAACTTTGTCAATCTTCCAGTGGGCTACTGTCATTTGTGAACCTCTGTCTTTCCCTAGAAATGGTTCCACTACTGATGTCTTCCGCCTTACTCCAGCCACACTAGTGGCTCGTCCTACGGAGTTCCTTTGCGCAAGTTTTTTTAGTCAAATGACTACATAAAGGTTACTGGCCTATACATGTAGCTCCCTTAATTTACACATAAACTGACCCCAAACTGTACTGTACATAATTCCCATTGAAATAAAGATGAAGCCTTACCGCATAATTATATGATACAATTTTTTTACCCCATCCAACTACTTTACCGTACATTGTCCATTTTAGGACTAGCCGTCCTACACAACTGGGGGAAGCAAACCAGAGAATCATGTATAATGTATCAATGGGTATTGTTTAAACAAAGTTTATTAAAAGTCATATCTTTGTCGGTCTCTTGTAAAATTTGCTTTGCAAATCCACTTACACAAGGCTACAATCACTCTTTTTCGAACACTAACCAAACCATAGGCCTTGATGCCCCCATCATTGGCCTTGGTGCCCCTAAATTTGGCCAAAACCCGAGGCCAAAATGGCAGGGCCCTAAAAAGATTAGAATTCGAGGCCTGTAGGCGTAGGTACATATCACTTACTGTCACACAGCCGAGGCTAGATGTAGAGTACCAGAATCTGCCGAGGTTTGCCGAGTGATCTCAGCCAATATTAATGCTTAAGTCATATAATAACTTTGCAGTTTTACATAAGTTTGTACCGGTATGTACTATAGCATGAACTTTTTTCATAATTTTTGGAGGGGATCGCCTAACAACTTTCTGAGAATTTGGTCCACTTGACAGGAAATGACCCAAATGTGCAATTAATTAATATGTATATGTCATCTTGTTTGGGATTGTTGCACTGCAGGGCTCATTAGCACTGGGTATTGCCACTGCAGTCACGCCACAATATGTTTTGCGATTAAAGTGCTACAATGCGTTCGTATCACGTACCAGGTGAATATATACCAAGAAGACAACAGGATAAATGAATAATTAATATTTTTAGTCCTGTCGATGTCGAAGAAATAAAACTGTTTTATAACACAATATTGTTTTGGATCGAAATAAGGATCAAAACTATTGAAGAGTGTGTACCTATGGATAATGTGTGACATTGATAATTAAGAGTGACAGGTTATTTACTAAAATGACAAAAAAAAAGCAAAAAGAAAGAATTGCGACACATCGATTCAACGGTATATCGTGCCGACACTAGGGTACATACACCTCACTCTGGTTGTTAAGACTGTAATTTTCCTTCCTCAAAACATCCAACATATTTCATAACTCTTTGCAGTGTTAATTGTCTCCTGACTACCTTTCGAAGAAAGCAGGGGACTATTAAAATGGGTTCATCTTTTTGTCCGTTAGTTCTAATTAAGTGAGAGTGATGAAATTTGGTGTATAGTTTTATTACATCAATAACTTGACTAAGTTCGATACTGAGCATTTTCTGCTCAGGGTAAGCAGAGCGATAAGCAATTTGATTGGTCGAGACTTTGCAACACAATAACTCTCATTCTAATGATGAGCTAGAATGTTCACACTTGGTGTAGGTGTTTTTTAAGTGAATGCCTTGATGGAGTTCGAAGATGAGAATTTTCTGCTTACAGTAAACAGAGATAAGCAATTTGATTGTTTGATGCTTTAGGACACGATAACTTTAGTTCTAATTTAGTGAGAGTGAGGACACTTAATGTTTCCTTTTTATCACATCAATACCTTGACTAAGTTTGATAATGAGTACTTTCTGCTCAGGGTACGCAGAGTGATCAGCAATTTGATTAGCCGAGACTTTGGAACACAGTAACTCTCCTTCTGATTGAGGTAGAATGCTCAAACTTGGTCTAGGTGTTCATTAGGTGAATGCCTTGATCTAGTTCGATTATAAACTTTGTCTGCTTACAGTAAGCAGAGATAAGCAATCTGATTGGTTGATGCTTTGGGACACGATAACTTTGGTTATAATTAAATGAGAGTGATGATGTAAATGGTGTAAATGTTCATTAGGTGAATGTTTTGAGCAGAGCTAAGCAGTTTCATTGGTCTGTGCCTTAGGACAATATAACTTTGATTATATTTGATAAAAACTTAGTGTATAGTTGATAATCAGTTTGATTGCTTGATACTTTTGAAAAAAATAAATGTGCAATAAATTAAAATGTGCCATCTATTTATTTTTTGATTTCGGCGGGGGACATCAGCCTCACTGTTGGCTTGTTTTATTTCATACTAGCAGGATACCCGACTTCGCTCGGGGGTCATAACACCGAAACCGGAAGTGGTAGACTAACCCCACCTGGCCTATGTTACTCCCCGGTCCGAGCTACCCCTATACCCCAAATTTCAGACTCGGGGCAGACCTAGTGTAGCCGCCAACCCCGAACAGACAGACAAACGACAGTCACAAATATATATAGAGATTTTCCTTTTACTTTGTAAATGTAGCCGAAATTATTTTTTTTAAAATTTTTCTTCCAGATATAAGGGAAAAATAAACAGATCTTGTTGGCTGACAAAATGATGACCGTAGATTCAAGTTATGTTGCACCTTTTACATCGGCAACAGTGTTTCCAGAACAGTCCCATGAAGAAATGATGGCGTATGAAACTTGGAGACTGAAATCATTTGATGAATGGCCACCTGAAGCATATGACAAGGCACGACCTATGGCATTGGCTAAAGATGGTTTCTATTATACTGGTACTGAAGATATTGTAAAATGTTTTAGTTGTGGTGTACAAAAAGGACAGTGGATTTTTAGATCCAAACCAAATGTTGAACATCAAAGATTAAATCCAGAATGTCTGCACCTACGTGGACAAGATGCCAGAAATATTTCAGTTTATTTACCTGACCCTGAAACTCATCAGACAATTTTGGCAAATCTTCATGAAAGATATTGTTCAGGAGACTCTTCACATTCTAATTCTATTTCTCAATTAGAAACAATTTCTTTTAGGACTAACAATAACATGGATAGACCTAATAATATTAGTAGTCAAAATACAGTGATGAATCAACCCAGTCTATTATTACAGTTAAATACCTCTTCATCTTTTAATTCAAATGTTATTAATCGTAGTGATAGCTCGGGTAGAGGTCCTGTAACACAACTTAGTACACCTTTAAGAGAAGATAAAGTTATTATGTTGTCAGAAATGGCCCGTTTACAGACTTTTAAAGACAGCTGGCCTCATTGCAGTCCTTCACCAAATGACTTGGCTAAAGCTGGTTTCTCCTTTACTGGTGCACCAGATAGAGTTCAATGTGTGTTTTGTAATGGCATTTTAAAAAACTGGCAAGATGTAGATATACCTATGATAGAACACAGAAAACATTTTCCTTACTGTCCATTTGTTTGTGGTCAACAAGTAGGTAATATACAAATAGATGTTAGAAGTCCTGTTAGTACAAGTTATAATGAAAGACTTGATGCAACCCAATCTCATGGAACAGGTGCCACTAATCAATTTACTCCAGTATCTGGTATTCATACAGAAAGACCACGTCATCCTAATTATGCTACTGAAGCATCCAGAATTGCTTCTTACACTAAGTGGCCTAGTGGTCTTTCACAAACACCTCAACAGTTAGCCAAAGCTGGATTCTTCTATGCAGGTATATTTTATATTTATTAATTTTTAATAGCAACATTTTCTTTTTTTCTTTGGGTTTTGAAAATAACAGCCGCATTAAATACACTTATTTTATTATATGCCCACATTTTCATGTGGATGTGTATATATTGTCGTCGCCCTTGTCCGTCCACAATTTGTTTGTGGACACTCTACAGGTCATAATTTTTATCTAATTTTGACAAAACTTGAAATATAGGTCTATCTTCCAAAGAGCTCGGTTCATTTTGATATTTGCATGTTTCGGACCTTAACCTCAATGCCCCTGATTGTACAAAAAATCACGTATTTAGCTTGTGGACACTCTAGAGGTCCCAATTGTTATCCGATTTAAAAAAGCGTTTTACTATATCACTGTTACACCCTAATGATGGTTGAGTTCAAATTTTGTTAAAATCGGACCAAAACTGCCGGACAAAATGGCTGCCCCTTGTACTCAAATAGTGTAGAAATATGTTATATCGAGGTTGTAGACACTCTAGAGATCACAATTTTTTATCCGATTTTGATGAAACTTGGAATGCATGTTTATGTCCCAAAGATCTTGGTTCCTTTCGATATTCGCGCATATCAGATCGTACCTTCCTGAAATATGGCCCCAGATTGTATGTAAAATTGCACTTTTAGCTTGTGGTCCCTCTAGAGGTCACAATTTTTATCCAGTTTAAAAAAAACGTTTTAGTATATCACTGTTACACCCTAATGATGGTTGAGTTCGAATTTCGTGAAAATCGGACCAAAACTGTTGGACAATATGGCCGCCCCTTGTATGCAAATAGTGTAAACATCTGGTATATCAAGGTTGTGCACCTCCTACTCCTAGAGGTCACAATTTTAATTCAATTTTGCTGAAACTTTAAATGCATGTTTATAACCCAAAGGTCTTGGTTCCTTTCGATGTTTGCGCATATCGAATCGTAACTTTCTGAATTATGGCCCTTGATTGTTGTACACAAAATTGCGTTTTGAGCTTGTGGTCCCTATAGAGGTCACAATTTTTATCTGATTTGAAAAAAAATGTGTGAATATATCACAGTTATACACTAATGATTGTTGAGTTCGAATTTTGTGAAAATTGGACTAAAACCGACGGACATAATGATCGCCCCTTGTACGCAAATAATACAAAAATATGGTATATCAAGGTTGTTGACCCTCTAAGAGGCTACAGTTTTTATCCGATTAGAATGTATATGTTTTTATCATAAAAATCTTGGTTCCTTTTGATAATCACACACATCCGAACGTAACTTACTGGATTATGGCCCCTGATTGGTCGAAAAATCTAATTTTTAGCTTGTGGATTCTCTAGAGGTCACAATTTTTTTTCCGATTTTAAAAACCGTTTAAGATATCACCATTCCACCATAATGAAGGTTGAATTCGAATTTCGGGAAATTCGAAATGAAACTTCCCGACAAAATGGCTGCTCTTTGTACGCAAATTGTCTATACTGTAAGTATGTAATACAAAGGTTATGGACCCTCTAGAGGTCAAAATTTTTATCCGATTTTGATGAAACTTATATAACATATCTTTATATTCCAAAAATCTCAGTCCCTTTTGATATTTGCACATTTCAGGCCATAACTTTCTGGATTATGGCCACCCTGATTGTACAAAAAATCGTTTTTGTTTTTAGCTTGTTCTATATCCATCTCTTGCAAAATGTGGGCGTATCCTGCCTGGCAGCCCCTACTTGTAGTTATATCATGAAATGAAAATGTTGGTATATCTTAGGATTTGATGATAGTGTAAAGTGTTTTTATTGTGACGGTGGATTAAGGACCTGGGAAAGAGGTGATGACCCATGGGAAGAGCATGCCAAATGGTTCTCCAGATGTCCATATGTACTACAGGTCAGAGGTGAAGCCTTTGTTCAACAATTTCACAATCATAATAATGTAAGCATATGTTATCATTTAAATGATTGGCCAATAAGCCAAATTGTTTATATAAAAAAATTTCATACAATTAAACAAATGTTTACCTTAACAGAACACAATTTTTATGGGAAAACAGGTTTTCCCATAAAAATTGTGTTCTGTTATTGTGTACCCCAATCACTAAATGCCACTTAAAGATAAATGTTTACCTGTTTGGAACAATTTTGTTTTAAATTAAGTAATTTCAAATTTCTGTAGAAGTCCCAAGATAGTCTGTTTAATTATAAAAATCAAATGCCAGAAAAGTAATAGAAATAACCTTTTTACATTTACCTTGTCTCTAAGAGTTTCAGCTCAAAATATAAATCCATTTGGAAATGATCATTAAAACAGTGAGCATGGGCTCCGGATTAATTACCAGGGGGTGTTTGCCAAGAAAGTTCCCCATGATTTTCCAGCATGTTTTGCCTGGTCAGTTGTAAAGGACTGGCAAGGAAAAACTGTTTAAAGTCATTTAAATGGACAAAAAAAGCAAAATCAACACTTATATTTGACATGCAGGTAAAAGACCTGTCTTCATTAGCCTTGTTGGTCCCGAAAAGTAGGAGGTTATACACAATTATTCAAAACAGTTTATAGGCTGCTTTTATACATACATGAATATCGCTAGCAAGGGTTGGCACCCGGGATCTTGGTCCAGTCATATTTACCAATTTTGTCTGACAGTCAGAAGATAAAATGTAATATTTTTGATTTTGACAGGCATCACAAAATACAGCTAGTGGAGATAATACAAATGATCCAAGTACCATAGGTAATTATATGTTTATATATTAATATTATGTCATACATTTTCTATTGCATTTGCACTGAGATCCAAATGTCCAAGCCCATTTTTGGCAACAACAAAAAATCATTTGTAAATATTGTAATAAGTCATTTTGTCTTTAAAAGGTTAAAATTGTAATTCTATTGTTCCAGAGTTACTTTCAGTTGTCTTATCTGACAATACATTTGGTCTTATTCTATTAATAGAATTTATTACAATAGACTAAATAGCATTAGTTTGTATTTGATTCAATCTAATTAAAATATACATTTATATCTATATTTCGTTTCGTTTTTTATACTTTCGATGGCCTACACTACATGTAGATCTAACAAGTTATAGTGGGAGTTCGCGTTCTATGACGTCAGGTACCAAGCAAGCGACATTTGACCCGATTACGTCAGTCATTCGATTAACCAATTAGCGACCGACATGTATTTTTTATCTACTTTTACTTTGTTTTGATTTCTATTGCCACTAATGTCTACCCAAAGTTCCGCGCAAAAAAGGTCAAACACTCGATTTGACAGACCATTTGATTGGCTGTCGCTGACCCCTCATTTCAAGCAGAACACGAGTTAAATAACAACGCTTCCAGATCCAAGTGTTGTAAAGACAAGTAAAATCGAAATTTTGAACTATAAAAACGAAACGAAATTGGATCTGTGTTTTAATCAGATTGTATTTGATTACCAGAAATACCTGATACCACATAAATCCTGTGGCAACTGACTTTTGTTTTACCTTGAAAATTAGGTTGTTTTAGATAATTTGTGTTTTTTTTGAGGGGGTGGGGGGGGGGGGGTGTAGTGCTTAGATATAATATTACAATTTTCTATTAAAGATATCGACAGCTTGTAATCCATTAAATATATCAAAAGCCTATAATCAAATCTCTAGCCATTGAATGGCAGAGATTTAAACGGGTTGAAAGATGGTCGCCATTTAATGATTTAATTTAAGTGTCGAATAACAAGTTCCGTTATTCTGAAACAATCTATGCCACATCTTTCAAAATTTCAAATAGTGATAACTTCTCTCAGAATAAGTAATTTGAATGAAATTTTCAATATATTCATTTTCCATTATCTATATTTGAATTATTATAGCAAGAATGGCCAGCTCTATCAAAATTTTACATAATGTTTTTATTTTGTTGCAGATCGTAATGTTTCAGCCAGAATTGATTTGCCTGTAGTGCAAAATGTATTAAAAATGGGTGTTCCTCGAGAAGTAGTGATAAATGTTATCAAAACTAGATTACAAAACACAGGTAGAAAGCCATTCCTCTATTGGTGAATTTTTATTATCCCCCTGTGACAAGGGTGTTATTAATATCTTGCTATGATGTGTAATATAATACCCTGCTAAATATCACTGTCCGTCGCCTTTTGAAAAAAGAAGGGAACTATTAAACAGGGCATCATTTTTGACGGGCGTTTGCGCGCTCGCGCCCGTCTGCGTCTGTAATCTTGAAAACACAAGCGCAGGTTAAAGCTCCTGCTAAAAATTCAGACAATTTCGACAGTTTTATCAAGAGAGTCGAGCTTGAAAAGTTAAATAAAATATTATTGTATCCGAAATATCGTGAAGAGTAGTTTTGTTATGGTATCGAGACATTTGGGTTGAAGATTATTAGCTCAGTTGTCAAGTCTCTCCATGACGATAGATTATTATTTATTAGTGATAGACTGATAGTATTACATTAGTAATAAACGATTGATCGTTTTTAAATTAAATGCTTTCCGTGTTACGGCGTTAGTTTTGTAAGAGTTTTTGATTGTGAAATTTGAATAAATATAACGTTATGAATTTCTGTCGTGGTCATATAGAAAGCGTCTGGATAATCACGATATATATACATTCCTTTCCCGCCTTTGGCATTGAGCCAGAGATTTACTCGAACGTCCCAGGTAGTGTTTTCTGTTGTAAGCATAACACCGGTAAATCGAGTACTTGACAACCAGTGGCATGTTGAATGAGCGTATTCGTCTGCTAGAATTTGGATACAATCAATAGAAATATTGACTAAAAGATGGTAAAAAAAAAAGCTCTTGCGAGCAAATTTGCGGGTGCATTTTTATGTGCTCCCGGAAATTTAAGTGCAAGAGCTTTTTGTGACTCCTGCATGTTTTACAGAAATAATGCCCTGATTAAAACTATCTGTCCTTCACAACTCTGCTTCTATTTGAGCTAGAATGTTCAAACATTAGATGAATTTATTGACATGATTTCCATGATGAGCATTTTCTGCTTAGGCTAAGCAATATGATTTGGTTGATGCTTTGGGAGATGATAACTTTGATTCTAATAAAGTGGGAGTGATGGAGCTTGGTTTATAGTTTCATTACCTCAATACCTCGACTAAGTTCGATAACAAGCATTTTCTGCTCAGTGGAGTGATAAGCAATTTGATTGATCAAGACTTTGGAGCACAATGACTGATTCTGAGTGACATTTGTGAATCTATGAGTTCTTATTGATTCTTCTGGGTGTAGGTGTTTATTAGGTACGAACAATTTGTATGCTAAAAATTGTGTCTCCTTTATTTTAAGGTGATGATTTTCCTAGTGTGGAGATGTTATTAAATGCTATTTATGATGCCAATGAAAAGACCACTTCAAAAGCTCAAACACCACCCCCACAAGATCAACAGAAAAATGCAGATGATAGTAATAAGGGTAATTATAAGATACAAGATGTAAACAGAATAATTTATCATCCGCAAACAGACCATTACCATACTAATTGTAAAATATAAGCTCCATGGTTATTTAGAAATAGAAATTAAGCTTAGTGGTATCTCTAATAGTGCTAAGTTCATCCTTATGCTTTCCCTGTTGTCATTGCTGCAGGACAGAGTCCGGGCTCTATAAAAGTTGAGTGTGCCTGTGCACACACTTGAAAATGTGCCTGCAGGGTCATACTGAAACACAGGGATGTAGCCAGGATTTGGTGAGTGGTGTAAAAATATATTTTGGGAGGGGGGCGTGGTCTTTAATGAAAATTAAACCCTTCTTAGTGTATTTTCAGAGCATCTGCTGCCTTTTGTATTTGGTTCAGTGCAAATCAAATTTCCATTTATATATTCTAATTTTACCAAATTCACTTAACTTTCATCAATGATACAGGGATCTAAAAACTTTTTGACACCACCCGACCGAGCATAAAATTGTCCCGCCCCACTCTGTTTCTCTGGATAGATAAGTTGAGGACCTTTCGGTATTTGTTGGTTTTTTTTTCAAATATTACTTTATTACTTTGAGAGTAAAAATTAAAACGATTCTTAAAACGGTGTTTGTGTTTTATTTGAGCACAACGAATTATGACAACAGGTAGATATTGATAATTAAAACACGTTGTATTATTTGACTTGTTTGTAAAGTTGTTGTACGTGTCTCACGAATATTATTATTATTACGGTGGAATGAGAATCAGGTCAGGCAGAAACTGAGAAAGCTCTCATCGTCCTCCTAGTCCTACTCTCGGGCCGTAGCAAATCCACGGTCAACACAGGTAAGAAATAAAATAAGAAACATCGTGAAAATTTGCAGGCACGTGTTGGACAATTACGACATTCAAACCTTTAACATTGGAGTGCCGGAAATTGGTCTGGGTGACCTATTTACGGCAAATAAACAAATATAAAGACCGTAGAATAATTGTAAAATGAATAGACCTAGGCCTACACATCTTCTAAGTATGAATAAACAAAATACCAATACATAGATCTTTAAACTAATTTGGGATGATAGGGTCTACTACGGCACACAAAAATAAATTATGCCGTGACAGACATGGTTTGCGTACGTCGGCTTTTACCATACCATGGCTTTGCCGTTTAATTGCCGTGGTAAATTTCGAGCGCCGAGTTTGTGTACAGAGAAGGACGAAGGGGTTTAAATACGGCTGGGCGACTTTCTTCGATTTTTTCTTTGTGCTGGGCGGCAAAAAATAGTGCCGGGCGCAGGCGCCGCCCGGCGTGGCTGCATCTTAAAAATGTGCCTGCAAAAAAGGTTTTTTAAAGCAAATGTGCCTGCGCAAGCCGTGCGCATGTGCCCGGAAATATCGATGCCTGGACAGAGTGTCTGGCAAGTAACAACATCTAGTCGTTCTGAGGGACAGAAATATAGCTCTCGTCTACGCATTGACTTCCAGCCAAAAGTATCCATGTCAGTAGGACATGTATGCCTGTCTTAATTAGAAAATAACAAAACAGAAGTGTTTTACTTATTTCTAACCAATTTCAAGTAGCCTAACTTCATAGACCATAAAGAAATTCTGTCTGGCTTGGTGAAATATTGGGAGTTCACAAAACAGTAAAAAATGACAAAAGTAAATTAATTCTATATGTGTCTTTTTATTAGATTTACCTAACAGAAATGATGAAGAGATAAGTGGTGAATCTAATGGTAATTGTATTAACTTCATGTATATATATCGGATGAGCTGCAGTAGACATAGCTGCTGTGTGGATGTGGCTATCTTTTTAATTACGTAAAGCGCAAACCCAGCTTTCATGGAAACAAGAACGTATCCTGGCAGACGATAAATCTATTCCATGTGACAGTATTATTCTCATTGTTAAACCTATCAATTGTTAAGCAGAATATTGAAGCTGTTAGAAAACAAACCCTGTATATTTTCTTTCCATCGAAACTATGCATGGTTTTCCAATATTATATGCATATTTGGTACATGATGGGAAGTCTTTTCAATTTTCTGATTCAGCAGTGTCCTAAGAAGTGTGTAGATAACTGAATTTTAAAAAATGTATTTGTTTTATTACAGCTGATCATGAATCGCTGATTTTAGAGAACCAGAGACTAAAGGAACAAAGAACATGTAAAATTTGTATGGATGAAGAAGCTAATATTGTGTTATTACCGTGTGGTCATTTGGTTAGTTGTGCATCATGTGCACCAGCTTTGAGAAAATGTCCCATTTGCCGTGCTAATATTAAGGGGACAGTGCGTACATATCTCTCTTGACTGTTAATGTTTGTCATTTTTGAAAATAAAAGAGGTATTGAACCTCATCTCTGGAGTAATCCCCCCTTTTTCTATGCCCACATAGAAATGACATGAAATGGGGTTTAACGTCCTACTGTTCTGCTTGGATAGTATGAAAAACCGAGGTCCTGTGTACACTTTTGCGTGCATGTAAAAGATACCTTGGCAGTTGGAATTCGATATAAGAGTAGGCCTTTAGTGCCATTGTCCTACCAAAATTTCCCTCATAGCACAATGCATGACGTGTGCCCATCTTCATTAGCCCAGTCAGAGCAGAACAGTGAACATTAAACCCCATTTCAATTTGTTTCTGACAAAGGAGAATCCATGAATTGATTTCAGGATTAAAATTAAAAGTTGTACTACCACTACTATCGGGGTTAACATCCATTTCCAGCCAGTGTGATATTGCAGATAAAAGAAATTCACTAAGATTAAGTAGTCAACCAAGACAGACTTGCATAACGCTAAATTACTTTATTAATCCTCTACATCAAATTTTTATACGCCCACATTGAAAAAAGCCTGCAAGAGTTATGGCCCTTGATCACTTTGAAAAATCTTGTGGACGCTCTAGAGGCTTAAGTTAATATCCAATTGACTTTAAATTTATACACAGTGTTTAAGGTCATGAGACGAAGAAGCCTATTGATTTTCAGCGATTTCCGAAAATTACTGCCAGAGTTATGACCCTTGATCACTTTGAAAAATTTTGTGGGCACTCTAGAGGCCAAAGTTAATATCCGATTGACTTTAAATTTATGCACAGTGTTTGAGGCCATGAGATAAAGAATCATTGATTTTCAACGATTTCGGATAATTGCTGCCAGAGTTATGGCCCTTGATCATTTTGAAAAATCTTGTGACGCTCTAGAGGCTAAAGTTATCATCCGATTGACCTCAGATTGATATAAAGAGTTTAAGATCTTGAGACGAACAAGTATATTGATTTTCAATGAATTTTTATGACTTGATGAACAGCTAAATCCATGATGTTAAAAGTTTCGTATACTAAACGTTAGCATGGGGCAGCAGAACTTTAAAAAAACAAAACAAATTCTAATGGTTTTCTGATAATTACTTAATGAGTTGTTACTCTTAATCACATTTTAATGTTCATTACCGAAAAAAGTAAAAATATGCGACAACTGCCCGGACGATATAGCTGCTGTGGGCGTATGTTTCGTTGCCTGGCAACCTATCTTTATTAAAAATAAATGAGATTGGTAATAGTTTAACTATCTGTAGACGGGCATTCCTAGTAGGAGATCGATAAAAAGAAATCACTCAAGAAAGGAAATAGTTGGGCTTATAATGCTTTGCAAAAAGGTGTAAGCCGCTGCAAGTTAAAATATAAATCTCTCCAAAACTCTGACCATTGGGAATTTGTGGACTGACAAAGAAGTGTGACTGCAATATAGGATGAAAAACAAGCTATTTCATAATAACATTTTAATATACAATTAGGGTTTTTCTTGATGATGAAAGAATTGACCCTTCAACTCCTTAACATAGTTGTAGTGTTTATGTATATAATAATAATAGTTTATTTTCAATAAGTATTCAGGCCATATATGTACTATGTATATAATAATAATAGTTTATTTTCAATAAGTATTCAGGCCATAGCTAGTACACTCAAGAAAAGATCATAAAATTACAAACATAACAAACCAACACTATTTACACAGATTCAACATGACCTCCCATCAAAGCATGGTTAAAAATTTCATTAATTTAGTTTACTCAAGTAATCTCTTCTTTTTATAGTATTATAAATAAACGCACTTATGTTACAGATTATATCACAGCAGTCTGCAAGGATAGCGTTTTATATAAAAGTAATAAAATAAACAACAATAATGGCATTCAGAACCTTGGGTAAACAATTTAAATTTGGATACAAAAATATCAACAGAGAATAACAGAAACTTGATTTGTTTACAAAAGTATGAAAAATATATTTGTTTAGCTATTTGCTCCCATCTTACATGTACTTAATGATATCAATTTAATAAATTCCATATAAAAGTACCTTACATGATAACTTTTGTTCTAATTAAGTGAGAATGATGAAACTTTGTCTGCTTAGGGTAAGCAGAGCGATAAGCAATTTGATTGGCTGATGCTTTGGGACACGGTAACTTTAGTTCTAATAAAGTGAGAGTGCTGAAACTTGGTGTATAGTTTCACTACCAGGTACTTCAAAACCTTGACTAAGTTTGATCATAAACATTTTAAGCTTAGACTAAGTAGGCCTATAGATAATTAGTTTGATTGCTCGATAAAAGTACAATTAATTAATATGTGTCGTCTATTTATTTTTGGATTTCGGAGGGCGACATTAGCCTCACTGTTGGCTTGTTACACATTAACATTACATTGTGTCACACATTTTGGACAAGGATTTGATGTAAAGTTCCACATTTATTTTAATAAGTATGTATGTGAGTGCAATTTTGATTCACATTAATGTCAGTGTATCTAATATTAACATTTTCATTGCTTCCCATTTTTAGGCAAAATACTGAGCTAAGATTTAATAATGTTTAGTACATGTATATTGTATTTTATTATCAGTTAATTCAACATATTCTAACAATTACCTCAATAAATTATGTTTACAAATGTACATAACCACAGAATTTCTTTCAAGTTTCCTTGATGGAATTTGACATTTACAATTTAGCACATAAATATCTAGTTTCAGAGTACTGAGAGTAGGCAACTTGCCATTCATCTTTGATACTCTACAAGGTTTTGCTACTTTTGATGCATATTTCTTGATAGAAATTTGGCTAAATTAAAAATTTATGATTTCTCTCATGAAGCGACTATAAGATTTAGTCCCAAAGGGTCCCCACATTCTTCATATTATATTGACTAGTTCATATTCTTTCAAATCTCCAGTAACTCGGGGGATCTCAGCTTCATCACTACTCATATTCATAATCTCTGTAAGGCCATCTTGCATACATACACATGGATAATCAACACCAAACATGTTTATGTCTATTACACATGCAGGTTTGTAAATAATTTCACCATCCTGAAGATAACCTCAATCTGAAGTGTCCCACATAAATATACTTTCTGAAGTGTCTCACATAAATATTCTTGATGTTTATCTTCAAGGAGTAATTTAGCCAAATGAACACACATAAAAGTTAACCATGTCCGAAACCAATTATAAATTGTAACATGTGTCCAACAAATTTCTACCAATGCCACAATAGAATTTATAAATTGCATCCTGAATCGTCTTCGGAAAAGACATAACCTTTCATTCCATATTGATCAGTTTATACAGGAGATTGTCGTGACTAACCAGACCGTAGAAGGGGAATGCCAGTTACATAAAATATATGATTAATGTGATGACAGTTTGGAAACTCTTCCTTATGTTTTGTATATGGATTGTCTCCAGGAAGCCAGTCATCAATCACACCACGGCAACTAAAGCACTGAACAGAACCTGTAATATCAAAAGAAAAACAACAGAAATCAGACTTTAATAACACAAAGAATTAGCTTTTATTCAAGTCTCATGTGACCATGGATTGCTGTTTTTGCAATAATTAAATATATTGTCTTACTCAAAACATACTGACACTCCACCAACCTTGAAAATGTGAATTGTTGAAACCCAAAAGGCTTCTTAAGATCACTAATCTAAATAATGCATAGTATGGATATTAACTTTTGTCACTAGATGTTCACAAAGTGTTCAAGGGCAGTAACTCTGGAAGTTAATATCAGAAATGGCTGAAATCCAACAGGCATAATCAAGGGCATAATCCATGAAGTTATGGTCCGATATGTGGCAATATCAAATGGGACCGAAATCTTTGGGTTATAAAAATACATTTTAAGTATGGATGAAAACTTTTGCCACTAGATGTTAAAGTATTCAAGGACAGTAACTCTGGAAGTTAATATCAGAAATGGTAGTCACGCTCACCCAGAACCTCCTAGTCTTCAACATACGGAGGATCTGGGAGGTTGTCAATATTTGATGTAAAGTCCATTCCCATGCGTAACCGGGAGTTTTGGTTTTAATGTGGTTGATTATCCAGTCTCTTTAGCCAAGTCAAGTAAGAGTTGCACCCCTTCCCACAATAAATCCTATAATTCTTGCATTAATATAAACAAACATGAATCGTGACGACGAATTAGGATTAATTTTAAACCATAGATATGGCCCATGAAGAGAGAAATTTTACAATAAAAAATTAAGAGTGTTAGATATTGAACTCGCATGCAATCAAATGGATTTTTTGAAATGACATTCTTAAATTAAATAAATGGGCGTAAACATCTTGTTTTAAGAGGAGTTACCTCCCTTAGACATTGTTTATGATAATGTGAAAGACCGGATTATCTAGCCAATTTTTCTCAAATGTTGACAACCTGTCCAGACTAATATTCGTAGAATATTTTTCTGGATGATAGAGACTACAGAAATGGCTGAAATCCAATAGGATTCTGCTCATTAAAGTAGCAGTTGCCATGCCAGATACACTCAGATTTTGCAATAGATGGACAGAGAATTACATGCTTTTACACTATTTGCTACATGTACATTGATAGAAAGTTTCGGTCTGATTTTCAAAAAAAATTGTTACCTCTAGAGAGTGTCCACAAGCTATAAACATGATTTTTCGTACACTTAGTTAGGGGCCATAATCAAGGAAGTTACGGTAAATATGCGCGAATATCGAAAGAAACCCAGATCAAAAACAGATGAAAATTGTGACTTGTAGAGTGTCCACAAGCTAAAATATAAATTTAAAATCAATCGGATATTAACTTTGTTCACTAGAGCATACACAAGATTATTTAAAAGTGATGAAGGGCCATATATCAATGTAAAACTGTGTACGATATTAAACTCTTTCTATATTCCACCTGTATTCTTGCATGTCAAGGCTTTAATCATGTTTCACACCACTGTCATTTTGGAGGTAGCACAACATTTCGGTCCCGCGACCTTTCAGACTCAACACAAATAACTTTTCAGACTCAGTTTGACGACGGTTCGGATTTACCTGACGATTTTTCAAACTCGATTTGGCGACATTTTAAACACAATCAGGGGTCATAATCCAGGAAGATGCGGTCTGATATGAGCGAATATAGAAAGATACCGAGATATTTCAAGTTTCATCTAAATCAGATAAAAATTGTGACCTCTAGAGTGGGTTGGATGGCCGAATGGTTATCGTGTATGCTGTATCATAAGGTCTGTCACTGAGTCAACTGGCGTGGTTTTGATTCCTGGGTTGTACGTGACAAGGAGTAGGGTCGCCTGTCCATCTTCGTGGGTTTTCTTTGGGTCCTCCAGTTTCCTCCTACAGCCTAAGACCCCTACACACAAGCGAATTATTGAAATAAAATTGAACCATATGTTAGTCCCGAAATGTCCTAGTTTGTGTCCACAAGCTAAAAACGTAATTTTTCATACAATCAGGGGCCATAATCCATGAAGTTTCGATCCAATACATGCCAATATCGAAAGAAACCAAGATCTTTCTAGTCTGTAGAGTGTCCACAAACAAATTGTGGACGGCCATCTAGACAGACAGACTGGGGCGACAACAATAAAATACATTAATTTTCATAAACATTCAACACTGGAAATATTGCTGTTCCTTAAGAAGTTTCTCGTAGAGACTCTCTACAGTGTATGATCCAGGTGCTGTACATGATGACAAACAGTAAATTTTATTGCATGTTATTTTTAAACCACATTTCGCAAGAGATGGATAGAGAACAAGCTAAAAACAAAAGCGATCTTTTGTACAATCAGGGGCAATAAACCAGAAAGTTATGGACTGACATGTGCAAATATCAAAAAGGAGAGAGAGAGAAACGGTGTTTAACTTCCAGTCAACACAAACTAGGTCATTTCGTGACTAACACATGGTTCAATTTTATTTCAATAATTCGCTTGCACGTGCCACGTAGGGGTCTTTAGCACTAGCAGTTGGAGAAAACCCACAAGGTTGGACAGGCGACTCTACTCCTTGTCACGTACAACCAGGGATTCAAAACCATGCCAGTTGACTCAATGACAGACCTCAAGATACAGCGCGCGCATGCTAACCATTCGACCATCCAACTCACTATATCAAAGATAGGTTGCCAGGCAACGAAACATACGCCCACAGCAGCTAAATCGTCCGGGCAGTCAAGAAGAGTTGTCTCATATTCTTACTTTTTTCGGTAATGAAACATTTATAATACACTAAAATCTGATTAAGAGCAATAACTCATGAATTAATTATCAGAAAACCATTAGAATTTGTTTGGTTTTTATAAAGTTCTGCCCCATGCTAACATTTTGTATACAAAACTTTTAATATCATGAAAATCAATATACTTGTTCATCTCAAGATCTTTAACTCTGTGTATCAATCTGAAGTCAATCTAATGATAACTTTAGCCTTTAGACTGGAAATCATTGAAAATCAAGGGCCATAACTTTGGCAGTAATTATCGGAAATCGCTGAAAACCAATAGGCTTCTTCGACTCATGAACTTAAACACTGTGTATAAATTTAATGTCAATCGAATATTAACTAGAGCGTACACAAGATTTTTTGAAGTGATCAAGGGCCATAACTCTGACAGTAATTATCAGAAATCGCTGAAAATCAATAGGATTCTTCGTCTCATAACCCCAAACACTGTGTATAAATTTAAAGTCAATTGGATATTAACTTTAGCCTCCAGAGCATCCACAAGATTTTTTGAAGTGATCAAGGGCCATTACTCTGGCAGTAATTATCAGAAATCGTTGAAAATCAATAGGATTCTTCGTCTCATGACCTTAAACACTGTATAAATTTAAAGTCGATCGGATATTAACTTTGGCCTCTAGAGCATCCACAAGATTTTTCAAAGTGATCAAGGGCCATAACTCTGGCAGTAATTATCGGAAATCGCTGAAAATCAATAGGCTTCTTCGTCTCATGACCTTAAACACTGTGTATAAATTTAAGGTCAATCGGATATTAACTTTGGCTTCTAGAGCGTCCACTAGATTTTTTGAAGTGATCAAGGGCCATAACTCTGGCAATAATTATCGGAAATCGTTGAAAATCAATAGGCTTCTTCGCCTCAAGACCTTAAACACTGTGTATAAATTTAAGGTCAATCGGATATTAACTTTCGCTTCCAGAGCGTCCACAAGATTTTTTTAAGTGATCAAGGGCCATAACTCTAGCAGTAATTATCGGAAATCGCTGAAAATCAATAGGCTCCTTCGTCTCATGACCTTAAACACTGTATAAATTTAAGGTCAATCAGATATTAACTTTGGCCTCCAGAGCTTGTGGACGCCGGAGCAACGGACGGGGGGGCGATGACAATATACGACCACATTTCAATGTGGGCGTATAAAAAGGACTGACATCTTTGGGATATAAAGAAATGTTTTAAGTTTCATCAAAATCAGTTAAAAATTGTGACCTTTAGAGGGTCCACAGCATTCGTATTACATACTTTTATGGACAGTTTCATTTCGATTTTCACGAAATTCAAAATCAACCTTTATTATGGTGTAATGGTGATATATTTAAACGGTTTTTAAAATTGGAAAAAAAATTTAGGACCTCTAAAAATGCAATTTTTCAGACAATCAGGGGCCATAACATAATCCAGGAAGTTACGTTCAGATATGCGTGATTATCAAGAGATATGCACGATTATCAAATCGGATAAAAATTGTGACCTCTAAAGGGACCACAAGCTAAAAGCGTGATTTTTTGTACAATCAATGGCCATAATTCAGGAAGTTACGATCCGATGTGCGCGAATATCAAAAGGAACCAAGATCTTTGGGTCATAAACATGTATTTCAAGTTTCAACAAAATTGTGACCTCTAGAGTGTCCACAACCTTCATATACCAGATGTTTACACTATTTGCGTACGAGGGACGGCCATTTTTTCTGGCAGGTTGGGCCAAAACGTGATTTTTTGTACAATCAATGGCCATAATTCAGAAAGTTACGATCCGATATGCTCGAACATCGACAGGAACCAAGATCTTTGGGTCATAAACATTTATTTCAAGTTTCATCAAAATTGTGACCTCTAGAGGGTCCACAACCTATACCCGACGTTTACACTATTTGCGTACGAGGGACGGACATTTTTTCTGGCAGTTTTGGACCAATTTTCATGAAGTTCCTACTCAACCAACATTACGGTGTAACAATGATATATTTAAAAAAAAATTTATTTCAAATCGGATAATAATTGTGACCTACATGTATAGAGGGTCCACAAGCTAAAAACATCAGGGGCCATAATTCAGGAAGTTACGAGCCGATATGCACGAATATCGAAAGGAACCAAGATCTATGAGTTATAAACATGATTTCAAGTTTCATCAACATCGAGTGTAAATTGTGTCCACAAGCTAAAAACAAGATTTTTCGTACAATCAGGGGCCATAATCCATGAAGCAATGGTCCGACCATTCCAATATTGAAAGGAACCGAGATCTTTGGGAGATAGACCTAAAAATCGTATAAAAATTGTGACCTGTAGAGTGTCCACAAACAAATTGTGGGCGGACGTCCGGACAGGGGCGATGGCATAATACGTCTGGATGAAAATGTGGGTGTATAAAAATTGGCGTATATAATTGGCTTATTATAAATTGATTTTATGGTTGTGTTCAACCTTTCCTTTCAACTTATTCCCAAACGCAGAGGCCATATTTTTTGAGTGCGAAAGGTTGAAAGTCTGAAATGTCGCGGGAACAAAATGTCCATGTAATCAGTGAAATTAAATATGCGGAGAAAAAATTACTTAAAAGTTCAAAGGCTCGTTATCGCACTAAAAGACAATAAAGAAATTCTTAAATGTATTAATAAAAAACTCTGTTGAAATTCCAAATTACCTCGCCCAATACAGGAGAAACCGGAATAAGCCATATTTTCTGGATTGGGCCATCGTACATGTAGGTCTTGGAAAGTTGACAGCCTCTGTTGCAATGTAGGTTGTTGTTGAGATAACCTTACATGTATGTCCTGTGCTGATATTGGAACTGCAGATACATTTGATGTGATCACCAATTCTAGGGATGTCTCGTTTGTATCATTTTCTCTAACTAAATGATGATCGGTTGGTATATTGGTACTCTCTGAACTATTATCATCTCTAGTTCTGTCTTGATCAATATTTATACCGGTGGCAAGTGTTTCTGGATGATCAATGTCCCTTAAATATCCATCTTCATCACTAATGTTGGAATATAATCCAACATTATCTGGAGAATTAAACAGTGACTTTTGAAGTGCCAACACTATTTGAGACGGATCATTCTCATAATCTCTACTATGAAATTCATCTAAGAAATTTTTGAAGTGTAAAGGAGACAATGTATTACGATGTCTACTCAATTCTGTAAATGCCTGTTCTTGTTGCAATGGTGTGAACTCAACCGGTACATCGTCCTTGTATTTCTTGTCATCATGACAACTTAAATGACCAAACTCAAAATTTCCTGTCTTTAATTTTGAATGGCCATTGCAAAACATACATCTCAATGATACTTCAGTTTCATTGTCTGATTCACAATATAAACCCTGTTTAGACAATTCTAGAAATGATGAGGGATTAGTGGATTTAAACAGTTTGTCAGGTAGTATGAAAAAAGTAAGCAATCTTGCTAGCTGTCTATTATAAATCATTTTTGGTTGACTGCAGGCCATTTTGAGATCTTTTCTGGTAGACGTTGATTCCAAACTAAGACTGGTAAAATATTAATGGCAAAACATCCATAAAAAAGAGAGTCAGACTAGTCCTATAGTCTACATGTATAGGCCTACCGTACACAGATAATTTTGAATATGGATATGATGAGGTGGTAATGATACACTGAAAAACAAAGAATAGTAAGTTAATGAATGAAATTAAATTGATATGTGTCGTAATGAATATTGTCAGATTTTGAAAACATGGCTTGTTCAAATGACTCTCCCCTTGCTGTTTCCAGTGACCGCCCTAGACTCTTAAAACCTTTAGCCAAATTTTTAGCCAAATCAAAATTTTATTAGCCAATTCAGAAAGTTTTAGCCAAATATTTTATATCATTTTTATTCATATGTTTGTTAATTAAAAATGAAAATAAATGTGTGTGTGTTAGTTGTATTTTACGTCTGCTTCCACCGAGGTGATATCGCAGACAAAATAAATGTTTAAGAATCCTAGCGTATTCATTACCAGGCTAATTCATTACCGGTAAAATCGGCGTATTCATGACCAGTATATTAGGTGCTAATTAGTAATCATCAGTGCCAATGTCTATGGGTGTTAATTACTGTCTGTTCCAGGCGACACTACGACTCGAAAATTGCTTGCTATTTCTTCAATTTTTAATTAAAATTGTTAAAACTTAACGACCTACCTGGAATTGTCATCCCTTTACTTTCTACCGCACGTTAACTAATTTCAGATCAAGCTATATAACATTTCTGTCTTGAAAAATCGTTGTTTATTTACGTCGCGGCATATATTGAAGACAGGGGTGTGGATTTGACTTTGGGTCGTTTCGTCCTACTTGCATGTTTAAATAGTTGTTTCGACCCAGTAGAATATAACTTGCTTTAATGAGCTATTTACGGGAGGTTATATATGAATTTGCTATTTGGTTTCGGACCACACTTGTTTGCTCCACTGCCTTAGATATTAAATTGGTGGCTTTCTGAAATTGATATAAACTACATACAAAGTGTGACCTAATATTGTTGTGACACGTCATGGAAATTTAGAAGTATCTAGCTTTGGGATAATAGATATATAACTGTCGCTTTTATTTGGCTTTGTACGACTTTTAATACTATTTTCTTGTTTTGTTTTTTTTTCTTTTTTAAAAGTTTTAATCGAATTGAAAAGGGGGCGCTCCTAAGATATTTTTATAGATAGCCTACTCTATTTCTTGTTTGATTTAGTTTTTTTTTATTTTGTGAAATGCCCCTAACCAATCGATAATATGATAGAAAACGCAACGGGGTAGTAGCCACACAAGGTCAACTCCTGATATTTACAATATTTACACTTTATCAGAAAGGTTACCATGCCATCTAATGCTGAAAATAAGTGTTCTGTGAGGAATATTTTAGGAGACATGCAGAACTATGAATATCTCTAAGGAATATTAAATACCGATAAACCTAAACACACACACATACGCACACAATCACACGCACACACATACACTCGCACACACATACATTCGCACTGCCGCAAAACAAACCTGCGAATCCTCCCAGGCTAAGCATTATTAACCGAATGCACCCGATTGTGGAATACCTTATACCCCTACATGATATACGAGTGACCCAACTTACGCAAGCGCAGTGATAATGTTTATGTTTTGAGAAATTGATTATTGTCGAAAAATGTGAAATTTACAAGAGAATAAAGGATTTTATCGAACTTATAGGCGTTAAGGCTCGACGAAGAAAGTAACGGGGTGACAATTCCAGGTAGGTCGTTAAGTTTTAACCATTTTAATTAAAAATTGAAGAAATAGTAAGCAATTTTCGAGTCGTAGTGTCGCCTGGAACAGACAGTAAATGAAATGAAATGAAATGAAATGGGGTTTAACGTCCTACTGTTTTGCTCCGAACTGGGCTAATGAAGACGGGCATACGCCATACAGTGTGCTATGAGGGAAATTTTGCCCGGACAGCGGCACTACGGCCTACTCTTATATCGAATTCCAACTGTCAAGGGATCTTTAACGTGCACGCCAATGTGTACACGGGACCTCGGTTTTTCGTCCCATCCGAACGACTAGACAGCTGTCCTTGTCAGCCCCTCCGTCCTGCATCACTGACAAGGGAGAACCACGCCGGAAAATCAGGATGAACTTTCTCGGCCAATGCAGGGATCGAACACCCGACCTCCAGGCTAGCGAGCCAGCGCCTTACCCACTTAGCCACCGTGATCCCCCGGAACAGACAGTAATCAATTAAGACAAGACAATAGAAGGATTAACAAGGTATTTATTATATTATTTAGATAGTCATAAAACAAACAACAGTTGAAATATTTCATATTCGAAGACTATATTTACATATAAAACATCGTATTCAGTTGATGCGATTAATAATAGCCATAGTTTCGTATTCATCTTTGAACTGTGTATTGTGTATAACTTAAGATGTTAGGCCCTACACATAAGAATATTGAAGTTGACTAAATTAAAACATCAAATACGGTGGTAAGAATATTAAATACGGTAAGAATATGAAAGATGTTTCGTTGCTTATAGAAATTGATGTTTCGGTTCTGTTGATTTTTTAAAAGTTACTTATTTTACGTACGGCTTTATACAAGGAGTACATGTCCATTTAATCTCTTCTAACCCTTTCACCGCTCTTCTATATGCTGCCTGAGATATATCTAAAGAGAACAAAATTATTTAAAATTTAGTGAATGGGTTCAATATTTTATGAATATAAGTTCGAGTAAGTATAGCTAGCAAAACTTGTATAATTATTTCAATACTTATGATTTATTTCAATACTAATGAAAGCAAGCAAAATCTGTGAAATTATAAATACATACCTGTACATTTTCTATGCTGCTATAGATTACACTCTTCACACTGAAGACCTTCTTGTCTGGGACGCACGGTGGAGAGAGAGAGAGAAAGAGAAATGGGGTTTAACGTCCACTCGACACAAACTAGGTCATTTCGGGACTAACATACGGTTTAATTTTATTTCAATAATTCGCTTGCGCGTAGGGGTCTTTAGCAGTGGGAGGAAACCGGAGGACCCGTAGAGAAAACCCACGAGGTTGGACAGGCGACCCTACTCCTTGTCACGTACAACCGGGGATTCGAAACCACGCCAGTCGACCCAATGACAGACTTTATGATACAGCGCGCGCACGCTAACCATTCAGCCATCCAACCCCCCTGACGCACGGTGGAACGGCAAGCGATACAAGGATCCATTGGAATTAGGCTATAGTTAACTTGATATGTATCTGAGATATCGATATCAAATGGTGAAAGTTTCATATTTTATTCGAAATATATACAAATTCCAAGCTTGCATCGGAATTGGTTTGAAGTTTAAAATACAAAATAACAAAGCTGGGATTTACAATCTCAAGCTTAAGATTAAATAATTTAAACAACTCAATAATAAAAAAAAACAATTTTAATACATCAAACACCAATCATTAATTAATAATTATCGTATAGGCTTCTATCCACACTGATGATTACTAATTAGCACCTTTATACACCGACCAATCAACCCTATAATATACTGGTCATGAATACGCCGATTTTACCGGTAATGAATTAGCCTGGTAATGAATACGCCTGATACCAATGTTTAATATGTACTTTTATTTTATGATCAGTAGTGGAATACCGCGTTTTATCAGTGAAATAAAAGTGTTATTCCACTGGCTAGTTGTTTTTACCTAAAATGATTGTAAAATCATAAAATAAATAGAACATTTGTCGTTTTGTGAAAATATAAGTTTTCTTGCTTCTCGATGAAATAAAATATGTTATTTACTCTAAAACGACAAATATCCTCTATATATAGTACACAAGAATATTATTTTATCTCCTTGTCCATGCAAAAGTTCACATTATTGTAGGGCTATGGCGGGGGAAAGCGGCAAAAACCTAATGCCATGTAGAAATGTCTAATTCAAAACACACATGTAACATAATGCCATACCAAAGACCTAAAACGTCTAATGCAAAAAACAAAATACAAGAAACCTCTAATACAAAATACCTCATACGTCTATTGCAAAAGACAAGAAACCTCTAATACAAAATACATATAACCTCTTATTAGGGTGACCCACCATAAATAAATATCTCCATATATCTCGACAATTTCGCCACAATATTTATATATATGCTTAGCCTCAAATCAGTTTCACACAATTATAGTCACTAAATAAACGATCATGTTGTACTTAATAAGCTATGACCATTAATCATCTATAAATAATAGACTGAAAACTGGTTCCATGTGTCGTCCATAGCATCCAGACACTTTTGGCACAATACTGGATCTTCAATGAGTTACATTCTATTTTTCACTCGGCAACCGGCTGCAGATTTCACTCGGCCAACTTCGGTTACTCCTCTACACCAAACCATGTTTCCAAACAGAGTTATCTTTCCGTGACCCGCAAATTATATTTTTAACTGGTTTGCTTTTGGCGCGATATTCTGATGTTTAGGCTAACACTGTTTTTAACGGCGTCAGCTTCTTATCCCAAGCTATAACTGGCAGACATCAGACAAATGGCTGCTAGACGTCACCAAAAGCTAGCAGACAAGAATAAATATAGGTCAAAATATTCACCTCTTTGCACAATGGATTGATCTGCTCTAATCACGTGATCAATTCTGTCCAGTGGTCGCCGTCGATACTGATTTACAGTAGAAAACGCAGAATATAACAAAAAGAAACGAAACGAAATACAATATTAATAGTAGTTTGAACCTTACAATTCACCCTAAAGTGAGTAGTGTACCAGGATAATGTTTATATTAAAAATAAAACACACTTATATGGATATACTACTTCTGAATTTATTAACATGCTACGTTTCGATACACATACAGATATCGTTTTCAAGCAAATAATGATAATCAACAATAAATGTGGTACAATATATAGGTAACAAGTGGAAACCATTTAACAGAATAATCAATACTATCAACAACGCATTATCAAGATCAAAGAAGTTATATGAATTAACATGATGAAAGAATAACACTAATAATACAAAAGGAAGAGATTAGAGGATAATTGACTACTAATAATACAAAAGGACATTTCCTCCCAAATCTTTGGGTTGATTTATTTAATTCTTAATCAGTGTTAGTGATGAGAAGTGTCTGTGGTCATAAGTGTATGACACCCCCCCCCCCCCCTTTATTTCATCTTGTAGTTAAGGTTTCACTTGTGATGATTGTTTCTATCTCTGACTTTCATCTCATCTTATAGTTATGGTTTCATATAGTTAATTAGCGTCTTGATGTTACGGTTTCATGTAGTCAATCATCCTCTAATCTCTTCCTTTTGTATTATTAGTAGTCAATTATCCTCTAATCTCTTCCTTTTGTATTATTAGTGTTATTCTTTCATCATGTTAATTCATATAACTTCTTTGATCTTGATAATGCGTTGTTGATAGTATTGATTATTCTGTTAAATGGTTTCCACTTGTTACCTATATATTGTACCACATTTACTGTTGATTATCATTATTTGCTTGAAAACGATATCTGTATGTGTATCGAAACGTAGCATGTTAATAAATTCAGAAGTAGTATATCCATATAAGTGTGTTTTATTTTTAGTGAAATCTATTTCTATATGTCTTATAAGGATAATGTTTATATTTTATGAAAGATAATAAATTGTTCTTTCAAATGGTATGTGATAATATAGTTGGAATTTGATTTTTCATATTGCATTCCACTGCGACAAGACAGCATCCTATATCAATATGGCCTCGAGGTCTGCTACCCCACCCCTCTTATACTTTACAATTCACCCTGTAGATATTAATGTGCCAGAAAAATGATTACATTTTATAAACGATAATAAATTTCTCTTTTAAATAGTATATGATATTATACTTGGAATTTGATTTTTTATATATCATTTCGTTGCCGCAAATGGCAGGATCCCGTATAAATACCGTCTCAAGGTTTGCTACCCCACCCCTCTTATACCTTACAATTCACCCTGCAGATATTAATGTGCCAAGAAAATGGTTACATTTTCTGAAAGATAATACATTCCTCTATTAAATGGTATGTGACAATATACTTGGAATTTGATTTTTCATATAGCATTTCGTTGCCGCAAATGACAGCATCCCGTATAAATACCGTCTCAAGGTATGCTACCCCACCCCTCTTATACCTTACAATTCACCCTGTAGATATTAATGTGCCAGGAAAATAATTATATTTTCTGAAAGGTAGTACATTCCTCTATTAAATGGTGTCTGACAATATACTTGGAATTTGATTTTTCGTACAGAATTTCGCTGATGCAAATGACAACATCTTATATTAATATAGCCTCAATGTCGGCTACCCCCACCCCTCTTATACCTTACGATTTAGAAAGAAGATATCAATGTGCCAGAAAAATGTTTATATTTTATGAAAGATAATATTCGACTGAACTTTTCGACTGAATTATTCGACTGGTTTATTCGACTGGATTATTCGACTGAACTAACTGACTGATTTTATCGACTGGACGAGGCCACATGAAAATGTCAAATACCTCATCCCGACACGCCCTTCCCCCCCCCCCCCCCCCGCCCCATCGCATCCCCTTTCCATGTTCATATCATATATATTGACTCTATACTTTTCGAGGCGGACAAGGACAGCTGTCTAGTCGTTCGGATGGGACGAGCATGAACTAACTGACTGATGTTATCGACTGAACTAACTGACTGATTTTATCGACTGGACGAGGCCCCATGCCCCCGGCTCCTTCAGCTATAGCTACGAGCATGATTTGCTACTAATTATCTTAGCCCGCTGCCACCGCTGCTTAATATTGAGCGACTTGTTTATTCGACTGAATTATTCGACTGGATTATTCGACTGAATTATTCGACTGAAGTATTCGACTGAAGTATTCGACTGAACTTCTCGACTGAATTATTCGACTGGTTTATTCGACTGGATTATTCGACTGAACTAACTGGCTGATTTTATCGACTGGACGAGGCCACATGAAAATGTCAAATACCTCACACACCCCCCCCCCCCCGCCCCACCCCATCCCCTTTCTTCGTTCATATCATATATAGGGACTCTATTCTTTTCGAGGCGGACAAGGACAGCTGTCTAGTCTTTCGGATGGGACGAAAAACCAAGGTCCCGTGTATACATTGGCGTGGACGTAAAAGATCCCTTGACAGATGGAATTCGATATAAGAGTATGCCGTAGTGCCGCTGTCCGGGCAAAATTTCCCTCATCCCACAGTGTATGGCGTATGCCCGTCTTCATTAGCCCAGTTCCAAGCAGAACAGTAGGACGTTAAAACCCCATTTCATTTCTTTTCATTTCTTGAAACTAGTTGGGAAGCCCCCAGGTCCCTACCCCATGCCCCCGACTCCTTCAGCTATGGCTACGAGCATGATTTGCTAATAATTATCTTAGCCCGCTGCCAGCGCTACTTAATATTGAGCGACTTGTTTATTCGACTGAATTATTCGATTGAACTATTCGATTGAACTATTCGACTGAAGTATTCGACTGAACTTTTCGACTGAAGTATTCGACTGGTTTATTCGACTGAATTATTCGACTGAACTAACTGACTGATTTTATCGACTGGACGAGGCCACATGAAAATGTCAAATACCACATCCCGACACACACCCCCCGCCGCCCCACCCCATCCCCTTTCTTCGTTCATATCATATATAGGGACTGTATTCTTTTCGAGGCGGACAAGGACAGCTGTCTAGTCTTTCGGATGGGACGAAAAACCGAGGTCCCGTGTATACATTGGCGTGGACGTAAAAGATCCCTTGACAGATGGAATTCGATATAAGAGTATGCCGTAGTGCCGCTGTCGGAGCAAAATTTCCCTCATTGCACAGTGTATAGCGTATGCCCGTCTTCATTAGCCCAGTTCCAAGCAGAACAGTAGGACGTTAAAACCCCATTTCATTTCTTTTCATTTCTTGAAACTAGTTGGGAAACCCCCAGGTCCCTACCCCATGCCCCCGGCTCCTTCAGCTATGGCTACGAGCATGATTTGCTACTAATTATCTTAGCCCGCTGCCACCGCTGCTTAATATTGAGCGACTTGTTTATACGACTGAATTATTCGACTTGATTATTCGACTGAATTATTCGACTGAATTATTCGACTGAACTATTCGACTGAAGTATTCGACTGAACTTTTCGACTGAATTATTCGACTGGTTTATTCGACTGGATTATTCGACTGGATTATTCGACTGAATTATTCGACTGAACTATTCGACTGAAGTATTCGACTGAACTTTTCGACTGAATTATTCGACTGGATTATTCGACTGGATTATTCGACTGAACTAACTGACTGATTTTATCGACTGGACGAGGCCACATGAAAATGTCAAATACCTCAAACCCCGCCCCCCCCGCCCCACCCCATCCCCTTTCTTCGTTCAAATCATATATATGGACTCTATTCTTTTCGAGGCGGACAAGGACAGCTGTCTAGTCTTTCGGATGGGACGAAAAACCGAGGTCCCGTGTATACATTGGCGTGGACGTAAAAGATCCCTTGACAGATGGAATTCGATATAAGAGTATGCCGTAGTGCCGCTGTCCGGGCAAAATTTCCCTCATCGCACAGTGTATGGCGTATGCCCGTCTTCATTAGCCCAGTTCCAAGCAGAACAGTGTAGGACGTTAAAACCCCATTTCATTTCTTTTCATTTCTTGAAATTAGTTGGGAAGCCCCCCGGTCCCTACCCCATGCCCCGGCTCCTTCAGCTATGGCTACGAGCATGATTTGCTACTATATTATCTTAGCCCACTGCCACCGCTGCTGAATATTGAGCGACTTGTTTATTCGACTGAACTATTCGACTGAAGTATTCGACTGAACTTTTCGACTGGTTTATTCGACTGGATTATTGAACTGAACTAACTGACTGATTTTATCGACTGGACGAGGCCACATGAAAATGTCAAATACCTCATTCCGACACGCCCCCCCCCCCCATCGCATCCCCTTTCCATGTTCATATCATATATATTGACTCTATTCTTTTCGAGGCGAACAAGGACAGCTGTCTAGTCGTT